ATTAATATGACTGCAATTTGTTGATTCCAATCAGCATTTTGAGTGACTCAAGGAATTCAAAACTGACCGGTCTTTCACAGTTACTCAATTTTGACAAATTCCTGTGAACAGTAGCTGCTCAAAAATATTAATTTCATCAAACTTTTTTGACAATGAATAAAAAAAGATCAAATTTCATCAACAGCATTGAAAGAAGAAGCAAAAAAATTATTTTCGCCTGTCAATCGCTAATTCTCTCGTCACTCAATATCGTCCACATCATCCGCAAATTCACATCATCTACATCAACTTCAATCGTCTCTCATTCCATGCTCGTCAACTGTCAATTTTCTCTCATTCTCATATTTTCTTATTTATTTATTTATGCGGTCAACTCAACTCAACTTCATATCATCATCGAGACTTGCTTTAATGTGCTCATTGATCTAACGGCTCGATGATTTTTCACGAGAAACGAAGACATTTAAACAGAAGCCTTACAAAGCAGCGTAAAATCCGCAAACGTGTCAAAAAGTTTTTATATTCGTGTCCCTTGTGTATGACTTGACATTCATTGAATTTGAATTTGTAACTTCTGAGAATCTAGTCAAGTTCTAAATTTGATTATTTTTGGAGTAAAGTTCTGGGAAATTCTCAGTTGAGCATAGCTTCCGCGATATTCTGTTAGGAATCAACAAGTTGTGGTTTGTAACTGAGCAAAGCTCGTGCTCTAATGAATCAATGAAAATTGCATCAAAAATTCTAGACTCAAAAATACATAGCTTCAGTGCCACATACTACATTAAAATTAAGAAGAACAAGATACAGAAAGAGACAATAGTCAAAAAGTAGACAGAAATGTGAATTTAAATTGACAGGATTTGCTGGTCAAAATAAATAAAGACAAAACAAAAGGCAACCGAGAGATGAAGCAAAGAACAGTAAAGATATGTGACTTTTGTGAATTATTCTTTGTCCAAAAATTTATTGTATTTTGCATATTCTAAAAAATATATAACTTAGCTCCACAATCGATTGTTGTACTCTTCTTGATTATTCTTTGGAATTTCGAACAATATCAAAATCTAGAAATGCACAATGAATTGTCAAATGGAAGTAAATAAGGAATTGAAGGCACAACAAAAAAAATTCAATTTGAGAAATTCCACATTTTAAAATTAATTAGCAGAAATAAAGAAAAATGTGTATGGCATGATTGCCTGCTTGCTGATGAGTATTGACCGCAAAACCCACAACAACATAGCAAGAACTGGCAAGAACAAAAAAGTATAAAAGTACGGACGAAAGAATTTTTGCATCATTTTAAATAAGAAATAAACTCACACATAAAAGTAAGTGAACGCAAATAAATTAAAATGAGAAGAGTAGAAGAACAGCAACACAACAAAAGTAAAAAGCAGCTTGAAAAGCTGCCGATTCAAATTCGATCCTTGAGATGTTGTCGATAAATTCCTCGAAAGAAAACGTGATACATGATTTCGACTTTATTTGTTTTTAATATCAATATCAATAACAATAGCAGCAGCAGCAAGCAGCAAGCAAGCAAGCTGAATATTTGGTTTTTACTCACAATGCACATTTTTTTGTTCTTCCTTGAATTCGACGAAAACGACGAGAGTGAGTGAGAGAGGAGCAATGATGGCATTATTGTGATAAAAAAAATCTCATTTTGGTTTATGCTTATGCCTTTATGTTGAGGATGAATGTATTGCAAAAGAAAAAATATTCAAATTGTTCACTCAAATGCGTGCAATGTGAGCTGAGAGAAGAAGAAGAAGAATTAGAAAAAAGTCAGTAAGAAGCATCAAGAACGGCAACAGAAGCATAATTTATGGTTTCTGTAAATTTATTTAGTTTATGGTAAATGTTTTGTATTAGTAAACTTATCAAACTTGCCTTTAATTCATCCTCTTCTTTTTCAACCACAACACACGTGAAAACAATGGCTTGAATGCAGCTACAGCAAGTACAAAAAACCTGAAAAATTCCACTTTACATGGAAGGATGTATTAATAAAATTATTACAAGTATTGGAAATATCATGTAAAGTGGAAATAACTCGTGTGCATGTGAAGCCGAATCAAAACATTTCATGTATTAGTGGATCAGAAAGTTCTTTGCAAATAAATTCTTGGAAAAAATTCAATTGTGAAATGTGATAAGTTTTTCAGCATAAAAGCAGTTGTGCTTCTCACGAAATCAATTTATTGAGTCAATTAAAATCTACAAAGTAATTTAATGAGCATTAAAAATGGATATCTACACAATTAGCAGCATCATTACTATTAATTATTACAACAATTCAGTGAGCCATTATGAGCAACAATTGCTTTTTAAAACATTTCAATTAAGCAGATAGACAAGTGTGAAAAAAATTGCTTTTGTCACTGCGTAAATAAGCTTTTACAAGTGTGTAATACTGGAAATTAATTTCAACAAATAGCAGCAGCATTTGTGTATGTTCGGTATGCTTCAAAGAATTTCCAGCTCTAACTTAACGCTTACTATAGAGCTGCTGCTTTTGATATTTTCATTAACAAAGTAAACACTATGAAAATAAATAGATATAGCTGGAGAAGCGCATACTATTTTTAGTGACATAATATTTTTATTCTCTATTAATATTGACTTTCTTTTATGGATGCATGCTCACAAAAAAAAAAAGATGACTTAACACTTTGCGGTTCTTTTTGTGGTTGCAACTGGGTTTTTAGAACAAATATTTGTGCTGGATCTTTTAGATATTTTATAAATAGCTACTTTATGATTTTATAGTTTTGATATATCCGACCGACACTAAGTTGTAATTTAGATACTATTAAGTCGGAGTGCTTTTATCAAGTCTTGACAGTACTCTGAAAACATTGTGGCATCCATAGAAATTGGAATTATTAAATTTGCAACACAAAATCTTTAACTGACCATCACCTGATCATTCATATCAATAACACAACTTTTCCATTTACTCTCTCTCAAAATCTCTCTCAAATTTCATTTTGTTCATTCATTGTTGATTATGTTGATGCCAGTAAAAAAATCGAAAAATGTGAATTTCTTCTCTTTGAGTAAATTCAACAATATGCAATTACTTTACTTTATTCTATATGCTTACTTACCTCACATCACTTCCATGATAATAATAACAATAATCAATTGAATTGGCTTACGATATGCTTAAAATTGATTATCATTGAGTTCGGTTGCATCATTACCAATCTCATATCCAATGAGAATGAGAAGAAATAAAAATTGGATTTTTTTTATTACAAAAATGTAAAAGCAAAATCTCAAACATTTATCTGTTGATGTCTTTTCCGTTACTATTATCGTTGCATGAAATTCAATTTCTATTACATCTAAAATGACCTGCAGATCATGAAATGCAGATATGTATGTTGTATATAAAGAGAAATTGTGGATTGTGAATGTTATTGAGAGATTTATTGTTCAAATTCGTTTTTGCCATGCTTCATAGCAAATTTTCGTTTCAATTCATGAAGTATTTTTCAACTCTTAAACATCCTTCAGATTTATCTATTCCAGAGGTATGGTTTAATGAAGCTTTTAAGAGATTAGTAGTTAAATATCTAAAAAAATTGTAAAATTTGATCAACGATCATAAAATCTGAGTATTCATAAATTGTTTAAATAGAAGTTTTTGGTACTCTTGGACTTAAATTTATTTTATCCCTAAATACAACTACTTTTGAATTTCTTGACGCGCTACTGATGTATTCCTGGTAGATTCCTTTATTTAAAAACTATTTGCCTCGATAATTTTTTAATAGTAAATCCCGTAAATCCATTGATTCTAATTTGAAACATTGTAAAGAATTCCTTTAACTATGGTTTTTGATAGTAAAAACAAATCTTGATGAAAGAATCATATTCACAGAAAACAGCCATTCATCATATCATGTGAACCAAACAGAGAAGAGATAAATGCAAAGAAACTTTTCCATTGTTTGCAAAATTCTGTTGTAGTGGGTTGAATAAATGTGATTTCATGTATACAACATCATTATCTCATGTGTAAATTTTCACGCGCACGGTATGAAATGCAAGAAGTTGAAAAGAAATAAAGAGAGAAATGGAGTGGAAATACAAAAAGTGTTTTGGAGATAATAAATTTGAATGCAAGACAATAGGAAAAGGTGTGCAAATAATAATTAAAAAGTTCTTCTTGCGAAATGTATACAAAAGATATTAAGATGTTGCATCTATTCAAAGCAGCTAATGAAAACTTTCCATTTATGCTTCTTAGAGTGTCGCTAAGATAAATTTTAAGGAAGTGAATTATGTCGTGTGAGGAAAATTTTTGACCTTTTTAAATTTAAATCATAATGTATGCTCGTGCATGAAACTATCACTAAGTTCTTGTGCAAAACACTATAAAGCATGATTTATGTCCAAACTTAGCAGTTGCTTTATTTGTATAATCGTGAAATAAGCACATTAAAAGTATTTTATCTGCTCATTGGTTCTGTAGACAATTTTAGAAGGTTTGCTTAAATAGATTCAAGGTAATTGAGGAATTTATCTTTTAACTTTACATTCCATTAAAAATGTCACAGGTTTATCTTAAAAATTAATATGATTTCTGAAGAGTTCCATCTTGATCTAATCATGTGATTTTCAATTTCTCTGTAGCCATTATTGAAGTTCTATTAAGCTACCCTGATCGATTTGTGAATAAGTGCGTTATCTACAAGAGTCTATCGTCAAGGAATATTAAACACATAAAAGAAATTAATAATAAATGAAGATTTGTGGAAAGTTTTGCATACTTATCATACTTATGCAAAAATTCTCTGATAAATTTTTAATTAAATTGTTGTAAAATTGCAAACTGCAAGAAATTAATCAATATGTGTAAAGTATAGGAACTTTCAATGATGAAATTAAAATTTGTACTTTAACTTCATTATTAAAGAAGTTAAGTTATATGCCGAGTCCATGATCTGTGAATGATAAAAATCTTTTTTTTTATTCTTAACTTATCAATTTTTAAGCCATACCCATGTGAATTGTCTCATAGAAATAACACCGAATTTCCAGATGGTAAGAACTGCTGGTTTTTGAGCGCGTTGCAAAACATTTACCAATTTCTTCTTCAAACTTATCCTTTGCCAATTTTCCCAGCCACAATTGTAAACTTCATCGGCAATTTTTTCACTAGCGTCAATCAAGAACTGACCAAAATAGCACTGAAGAAACACTTGACCAATCTCAAAGCATGTATAAATGAGGAAAATTGAGTTTTCAAAAACATTTTCAGTTGTTTGAAGTTGAAACAAGTTCAGTCCGATAAGCGAGGCGCTAACAATGAAGCGGAAGAAAAATGTCTCTGAAAAAATATCTTTTAAATCATGAACTAGCTGGAATGTCTTCTGGTGATTCTCAATCAACTTTGGGAGTTCTAATTCAATTTCATCCTCAGTCATGTCTTTCAAGTTTTTGATTTTATCACTCAACGAATAGAATTCAACAGAGATGGTGGTAATTAGGATTGATGTCATCAACATTATTGATGTAATTAGGTATATTCCATATATTCCGACATAATTGCTCCAAATTAAGACGAATGGATAGATAAAATCGTATGTAAAGTAGTTTGGGAATGGAACAATGAATGTTCGGTCTCCAGTAATGAGCCACCTTAGAACAGGTATCAAAGTTACAGAAGCCATCACACTGTTAACCCCAACAAATATTGCCTGAACGATCTTGAATGCTCCACAGATTGCTAATGCAGACGGATAAGATTTTGGATATGATTTCTTCAACTTGGTCAAAATATCCATGAGTTTAGACTTATTGTACCAAAATGATAGAATCCTATACTGGTTGATGAAGTAAGTCATTAGAAGTGCAGTTCCAAAAAGACGTTTTGATAAGTTGGTTGTAGGTCCACACCATAACTCAAGTTCTGAAAAGATCACCAAAAGTACAATGATGATATTGCCAAACCAGTAATGAGCATTATGCAAGGCAATATTAATCTTTTCACTCTTCGTAGTTGCATCCTTAAACTTGCGAAAATCATAGCCAATAGCATTCAACAACCAAAATGAAGTAGCGAAAAATTCATCAAATCTTATTCGTGATTCAATTACAAAGGAATTCTTGAGCTTGGAGAACTTAACTTTAGTATCCTTGACAAATTTTTGAAACTTTTCCATATTCACAGTTTGAACTTCCACTTTTTATTGTTTAACTGTTCACAAAGGATTTGAGCAACTATGGACAGGACGAACAAAACTCTTCAATATATAGAGACCCGAAGGATGATGCAGAAACCTACCGAAGTCTGTCACCAAAGGCAACAAAACAAATGTAAAATTAAGAATTTATGATGAGTGCGAAATGTAAATTGTTTCGCTTGTATTCAATGTCATTAAAAATTGCACGAGGTCATATTTAATAGAGTTTCATCAAAATCAATTACAATATTCCTTGTAATGTAAATATATAGAAATTTGAATCCCGGGAAGTTGAGCTGAAATTCTTGAGATGACTTTAGAGATAAAGGTTTAAATATTTGAAATTATCATAAAATTCATGACTTTTCCTATGGTAAGTATTGATAAATGTTTGATTTCAACTTCCATTACCCACTCTTAGTTCCAAATTTTAATTCACCATAAAAATAAATCTTTATATGCAAGAAAGACCAATTACAGAATGATGTTGTTGGTGCTCATATGATTTTTATGATCCAAAAAATAAATTTCAAAAGTTTGTGGTCAGAACAAATGTTACTTTAACTGCTATCTGTCCAATTCCCTTGCATTTCTTTATTGCTCTTACACCATTAAATAGTAATAATGAAATTGTAATTTTTCGCAATCAAACTGTTTGTATGTGTATACAGGACAATAAATATCTGTGAAGATATCTACAGAACATACAACAAGTGACAATATGATACGATTCGGAAATGCGGCAATAGCAATTGAAATAAATAAAAGTGCGCCACATGCTTTTAATGTTTTCATTTACTTCTCTTTTATTTTCCTTCTTCATATCCTGCTTAATTTCTCTTACTGATGATGCCTCAATATGTGTTTTAACTGTTCCATCCCATTCCTATGTATTTGTACGTACATTAATAGATATAGTTGGATAGAACATATCGTGAGTACAACTTAAAACACATAACAAATTATTTTCATCGTTAATGTGAATTTAGATAACTTTTTTTTTGTCTCTCACTTCTACATCCAGTCTTATTATCATATTTACTTATTATTATAATTTTCACTCAACATATTTCTCGAACATAAATACAAAGATAATTGTATGCATGCATGTATAGTCACAGACTCTTTGTTTTTGAATTATTGGGTTTAGCAGCAACGAAAAATAAAATTTTCTAAAATGTTTCGAGATATTAAATGAAAATTATTAGCAACATGGAACTATCCTAATAGTCATCATGAGAATCATGAGACAGAATGAGTGCTTAGCATAGCAATAAGAAGGTGAATGCTTATTTTCTACCCGAAAAAGGTGTTTAGCGAAAAGTGCAGATGAGAAATAAAAATTATGATCATTTTATGGATTGCTGTATGTTCTCCAAAAAGTGTTTTTCAGGTCCTCATATGCTAAATTCTATCAACAAATTCTGCTGCGAGCAATTTTTTCATGAATTTCTAAATTTTAAGGAATTATTTTTGTGTATTTAAACGATGCACAAGTTGTGGATAGAAGTTATTAAGGAACAATTGAGTCATACATTCCCATTTCTTATGAATTATGCTGCAATTTTATCATTAGGAATTGCATATCATGTTGGTAATCATATTGTTGAGTTCTGCAAATTAAAAGCCACTTACATGTTCATGCTTTGTGCTGTAATATTCATGTACAGTGCCTAATGACCAAATTTGATTTTAATTGATCTCTAAAGTCTCTAATGAAAAATTGAGAAAGTATGCAGCCACAGATATCCAAAGTTAGATGCAGTACATAATTATTACTTCAATCGATTCCATGCACATGAGGTAGAAAGAGAGGCGATTAAAAGCAGTCAGTTGAGGCACTTTTTAATTTATTATCGATATCAGCACTTCCCACCATGAAAAAAAGTATTTATTTCCCTCTGGAACTGATCGAGGAATGTTCGGATTATGATGAAGAATAAAGGAACACAATTCAACATAAAAACATGTCAAAAATGCAGAAATAACATTTATCAATGTGGATTTATGTTCTCACAAATCGCACAGAATTTCCTTCGGTTTTGCTTTTGCCTTTCCAGACAGACGTTTTAATTACTGGAACTTCTCTTATTTCTTATAATTTTTTTTCATTCCATTTTACAATAAACTTGATCAATAATTCAAATAAAGTGAATGAAAAATTTACTTGATGGAAGTTAAGTCTGATTTTTGGTGGATTATTGAGCACTCTGTAGGATTTGAACCTAATCTCTTTTTCTGTTTCTTCCAAAACGGCTTTTGGAATATAGTGATTAATTTATGATTTATGAGATTTAGTTATACTTGTATTATGGACTTTATCTTGAGACAGACTATTTCTAATTGGTCGAAGTTGAAGTGTAGGTTCTTGAAACTTAAGAGTTTCATATAAATTCTTGTAAGTCCTTCAAGATTATCAATCTGATTGCTCTGCCTGTCTGCTTTTGAATGAGGTTTTATACAATCAAGTGTAATTTCTACTCACGATCAGTTTTGTTAGCTTAAGTTCATATTAATCATCAATACATAAACCTCTCGTCTATCCTGGCTCGACCTTAAAAGTTAAGCTAGTTTTAAAGAAGTGACCAGATGAAAAGAATAAGGAATTGAAGAATTTTATTTGGTGAATATCAAACGAATCTTTTTGTAGCAAATAACAACAGCATGAAATAATCATATATCGACTTCAAATGGCTGTAAATCATTTCTTTGGCAAAAAAAAGGAAGAGAAGAAGAGGAAAAAAAATGTAAATCAAAGAAATGAAAATGGCATAAGAAAAATTAAAGCAATTTTTATTCAGTTCGTTCTGATCTTTTTGGAATAATCTCGCGTAATAAATTGATTGGCTGACGCTCCTTATTCATTCATTCAGCATTCAGCATACAACATTTATTATTTGTTGCTGTTTGTGTAAATCATAAAAATATGTTGCAGTTCAGTTATTCTTCCATCTTTCACAAATTGTGTACTCTGAATCTCTGGATATACTCATGAGAATGTCTGATGGTCTGCATTAAGATTTATTTTCATAAACTTACACAATTCCGAATCATAATTTGCCATTAATTCTTTTCCAGTTCTTTTATTCTTTTTTTGACTGGATATGGATACAGAATTGCACTGCTTGATTTTCTTCTTTCTCACTCACTTCTGGCATTATTTCATTGATATTCGGACAGGCAATCAGGTAATTTTTCTTGCTTCATTCACGTAGCAATTATTGCTTCAATCTTTGCCTGCTTTTCGCATTTATTGCATCTCGTCTGTATATCCGCTGACATTGATTAATACAGCAACAATTTATAAATTATTTCTCATTCCATGCACATGAAGCTGTAATTTTTATAATGATATAAAATGACACAGGCTATTTGGATGTACTTCATATTGGAAATGATGATTGCAATTATGAGCATGATGAATGTAATATGGACATCCTTTTCAAACCTTAATTGCAGCCAAGAAGCTGTGGAAGTGTCTAAAGACTAAGACAATACCAACAAAGAAATATTCAGGATATCACATTGGTTAATGTCTGTAATAAAGTTTTCTATGAGGCGAAATGAGAAATAAACAGAATTTATGAATATTAGACAGTTCAAATGGATACAAAGTAAACCCAACATGGCCTTAACATCAAATAAACTTAAATTAAGAAAGAAAAATCTTACTTATGAGCCTCAAAAATCCCCTAAAATATTCAAAAACACGACTTCATACTGATCCCGAACTTCTTTGCCTTACATTCATTCTCTTATTCGTCTCATTGAAATGAAGGAAAGAACAGAACAGCATCAAAATGCTCATCAAAATAATTCTTCATTATGAAATGAATGAAATTTCAGCTTCACTTCTTGCTTGCCTCTTTCTTCTCCACATTTTGTTGCTATTCTTATTTATTGCTATTCAGTGGTTTAATCTTCCTCATCTTGTGTATATTTACAGTACATCTTCCTTAACATGCCTCATGCGGCTAAATATTTTTTTTGTATCCTCCAGTTGACTTTCCTTCTTCTCATGTTCATCTCTTATTGTGAGTGAAGGAGATGGAAGTCCAATAAACATAATTTTTGCGTAGAATATTATTATTGTTGTGTATTTGAGGATCAACATAAAGGAGAAAAAAAAGTCATTTAACATTTGTCATGATATGAACATTGTAAGTCCTCCATGTTGTCATTCTGATTCTTATTATTCAGTTCTGTATGTAGTTCTCATTTGCCCTTATTTAATGACGACAAGAATGAGCTCATAAATATAATTTTCTTTTACATCATTGCATGCAATATTATAAATTTCAACCTCACCTCACACACCCTCTACATACATACATAAACAGTTCAGTCATTCATTCGTATGTGCCTTTTATCTTAATAAATTCTCATGATGGTCAGTTTCTTGTTGTTCTGTTGATATGTCGTAGTGATTCTGATTTGTAGTTTTGGACAGAAAATGACAATGCTATGTTAGAGGCAAGAATATCACTGTTGATAGTGATTTTGCGTAAATAAGAACGACATGAAGACAAGCTATGCTCATTTATTGTATCATTTAACCTATGAATGAGCCATTAATGCATTATAATTGCCTATAACACAACGACATTGTCTCTTTTCATTCTTTAGTGATAAAGAACAATATTTATTGCCATCAATTGAGAAAAAAGGAAAGAGCCTGAGCATGAAAATTCCTCACAAAATGCCAACTTATACGCATTATCTTGCATGATGCGATAATTTTTATTTCTTCTCATTCTACATGGCAATAAATCACTTGCATCTCAAAGAACTTCGCTTAGAAAAAGAAGGAAGATGTTGATTGAAGGAATAGAAAGTAAAAGGAATCAAAGAATTATTTCAGATGAGTAAAGATAGCTGAATAATTTAAAGGGGAGGGGATGTAATTCAGAGGGATTTAGAAATATTTTCGGGAAGTTTTAACAAACAATCATTGTCGATTAACATATATGTAGTGAAAATATCATGTATATATTTACTATGAGACACAAAATAGTAAAGCTTTTACTCAATAGATGGCGTTGTAATCTTAACTTTGCCACATGTGATTCAAATGTAACGGTTTTATGGTGAAATATTAAAAATCATATATTTTTTATAATCCGACTTATAGTTCACATATTTTTGAAGACATGGAAGTGCACATTAATTTAATGCTTAATTTTCCCAATACAAGAGAAATTTCATTGATTGACAGTTAATTAACGCGTTTTAAGAATTTGAATTTAAATGTTTGATCCCTTATCACTCATGTCAATCATTTTTCTCGAATCTTATTAATTTTAGTAGATTCTATTAATATATAAGATCGCATATCATTTGAATTTATCTTTTTCTCTATACTGCTTAAGATAAAAATGTTTAATTATATTAAAAACATAGCTTTCATTTGAATTTAATGTAAAACTAGTTTAGTAATTTTGTTGTGTCCTGAAAAATCGCAGGGAAAGTTTACCATTTTAAAAAATGAAATCTTAGCACATTAAATTATTTATTTAAACTAATAACCATGTCTGATGTGCATGAATTAACATTAAGAGAGTATTACGAAAGCTTTGGCAAGTCTCTAAATAAAGGAACCAACAAGGAAAACGTGATCGTAAGTAAAATTTTTACAAAAGCTTAAAGGAATTCAACTCATGACCAAAAAATCTTCAAGATTGAGCATGTAGAGTCTGAGGTAATATATCTAGGAGAGGAATATGAAGTGATTGAAATCCTTGAATCCGACAGTGATTTTGATTATACACCAGAAATAATTCATGAAAGTCCAAAAAAGCCTGATCAGAGCTTAAAAGTTGAGCATCCAAAGCTAGATCCGTTAATGCTCGGAAAGACAAAATCATTAAAAGCATTTCGTCGCAATGAAGATGAATGCATAACGAAACGCATTACTCGCAGTTCCAACAAGCTATAGATGGATGCAAAAGAGGATAAAAAGCAAGCATTTTTTGATTATAATTAATTTTTTCTCTTTATTTGATTGATTCAATCTAATTTCAAAACGAAATTTCTAACAAACATCCAGCAGCAATTATTCTAATTAATTTATTTAACTTCTCAATAATTCGTATTACTTCTTAAGTTTCATTATATTTTCCTGCTTTATGCAATCAATCTCATTCTAATCAACATTTTTTTTTTTATGAAGGAACAAAAGAGTCATAAAATTAAATAAATTTTAAACATTTTCTACTGCTTTATGTCCTTATTTTTGAATGAATTAAAATTCTTCATTTCACATATAGAATTGTGCAAGTTAAATATAGCTTGTCGATAGTTCATGGCATAGTAGACAACACATACATAAATGGCAATTTGTTTAAATACTTTTAGAAATCACATTTAAAATTGGTTTTGAATCAGGGACTAAAATGTATGAAAAAAATCTTTGATGAAAAAAAAATCACTCATTTTAATGAGTAAAAAAATCATGATTTTTTCCATCCTGCGAACATTATTACGTAGAAAAAAATCACATAAGAAAAATTTTACGTAGAACTTCATCACTATTAAGTCACTTGCGCTTTAATTTAGCTTCTTCCATGATTAATGATATTTTAATCTGTCATTTAAACAACCAGATACTCGTTAAAATAGATTTTAACTTAATTAAAATATAGTAAGGCATTGGTTCACTGATTCTTACCTTAATGTTCTCCTAAAATTATTGAAATTTGAGTCCAATTTATGTCATTACTTCCTTTATTAGTTATTATATCCATACCTGATAGTTGCAATACCTGAATAAACTATTAGCAGCAATAAGCACTTCACATTTAGTTGAAAATTTTATGAAATATTTATTTTTGAATAAAATTTGTGCTGATGAAAATTTTTTTTCGTAATTATTATCATTTCGTGATGAAGTTCTACGTAAAAAATTTTCTTACGTGATTTTTTTCTACGTAATAATGTACGCAGGATGGAAAAAATCATGATTTTTTTACTCATTGAAATGAGTGATTCTTTTTCATCAAAGATTTTTTTCATACATTTTAGTCCCTGGTTTTGATAGAGTTTTGCTTTACAAAAATTAATTTATTATAATTATCAACAAAATTAAGAGCAAATTTAACAGAAAACCTTTGCTTTTAATTAACTTAATTAGCATTTTATCATCAGGTTTATTTTTTTAAAACTCATTTGTATGAGTTTGTTACTTATTAATTAAAGCATTTTTCATCAACATCTACATACATGAGGCAGTTATTCTCAACTTTTGAGTTATGGCACTTAAAAGCTTTTAACAGAATTTTTGTTTTGGTGTTTAAAAGCTCACAAGAGGCTTTAATATAGCTAGTAGTGAAATAAAGCTAAAGTATGATAAGCGATGTTCAACATACAGTACCGTTCAAAACTGTTTCCATGTTTGAAGGAAAATTTTCTTTTCAACATATTTATTATAAAGTATAACATTTTCGCAACATGTTATATAACGTTTTAAAGCTTGTTTAATAAGCTATTTAAAAATGATAAGCAACTTTGGGAAATATTTAATTAAAGTAGATTTTTTGCTTAAAATATACACTGTCACATGGAAACACTTTTGAGTAATAATTGTTTTTCCAAATTTTGATGCAAAGTAGAACTAATTCTTTAAAGTTTGTTTACTATAGTAAAAAGCTAGTAAAATATAAGATAATAGCACATAAATTAAATTGCTAGACACAGTTAAAATATTTAAATAAGAATGTCAAATCACATGATAATTTTTCATACAATTTTGCAAAAAATTACTAAATGAAAGTAGTATAAATTGATATAAATAGTCATATTTGACTATCTTAAGTCGATATTTACGTAAAAAAATTTAATTTTTGTAAATTCTTGTGAAAAATTTTGAATATGGCTGTCATTGACCAACAAAATTGTAAAAGAAATCCTTTTACTCTCACAATGACTACATAAATCATATATGGTTTTCTTTGTTAACATAAAATCTATCAGAAAAAGCGATCAAAGTTATTGGAAGTGAAGGAAGTAATAAAATTTTTTGAATATTTGTGTTTGCAAGTAAGAAAATTTAAGTGTTTCCATGAAATGTTATCAATTTTTTTGCTTTCAAATCCTTCTTTTTACAATTAAAAACTATTTTTCAGCTTTAATAAGCTAAAATACATTTGTTTAGATGCAAACATCACAACATTTTGCTTTCATTTAGTAATTTTTTGCAAATTCGTATGAAAAATTATCATGTGATTTGACATTCTTATTTAAATATTTTAACTATGTCTAGCAATTTAATTTTTGTGCTATTATCTTATATTTTACTAGCTTTTTACTATAGTAAACAAACTTTAAAGAATTAGTTCTACTTTGCATCAAAATTTGGAAAAACAATTATTACTCAAAAGTGTTTCCATGTGACAGTGTATATTTTAAGCAAAAAATCTACTTTAATTAAATATTTCCCAAAGTTGCTTATCATTTTTAAATAGCTTATTAAACAAGCTTTAAAACGATATATAACATGTTGCGAAAATGTTATACTTTATAATAAATATGTTGAAAAGAAAATTTACCTTCAAACATGGAAACAGTTTTGAACGGTACTGTAAAATTGAATTACTGAGGCTATCGACTTAATAAGCTTCAAATTGACTGATATAATCTACTTAAAAATAACTGTCATAAAATATTTGAAAAATAACGGTCGTAGAATATTTAAATATCATGTTATTTTTAAAAAATTAACGGTTTTTTTAATTTACATAAGATTTAACGTACGTAACTCACTTCCAACACATATTTACCTAATTCCAGTTACCTAAGTTGATTGAATCTACAGTTAGCACCTTAACATAAAGCTTAAGAATAATTACCTCAGATGCATCTTCTTTGTGTGATTGAACATTAAACACGAAAATTATTTAATTTTAAGTATCGCATTATCGTTCAATGCAATAAATACAATAAATATTGTGTAAATAGATAGCATTTTGAAACATTTATCAGCATCAATTGTGTTTTTTTGACAACAATTTCTTTTCCTTCTTTTTCTGAGAGGGAAATAAGTGATGAGAGATTTGTACACACGCTTTTCATGATTTTCATCACTAATATAAAAGAGCTAGCATTATAAATTAACTAGTTGTGGATGGGAGGAGAGGTTGATGGATAGCAAAAAAAGTAGGGAAGAGGAAAATTTTCTCTAAGTTATGTGAATTTTGTCAAGGAATTCAATCAGATGTAGGCTACTTCCTAATTCAAATTCATGTCCTCATATGTCAAGCTGTGAAAGACATAAAGTTAGCAATTTCAATTCAAAAAATTGTCTGAAAAGTACCTTCAAGTCCATAGTAAATTCATCGTTGATTATCCAATTATCCCTTATTTTGGAATTGAAAATTAGAAAACGAATTGTGAATTTTTTTTTGATTATTAAAAGCTATGGGAACATAAAATAAGGAATAAAATTATCATATTTCCTTGAAAATATACAAATTGTTATTATTTGTTCTTTGTTTGTCATGATTTATAGTGGTTGTGTACACGCAAACAAGAACTATTGCCTTACTTATTGGGCATAAATTCATGAGAAAATTTGTAAATGAAATATTTGACATTATCGAGTATTCTGTCATGTTTTTACGTATTATTCTTGCTTTGTAGGCAATTTATCAAAAGCTCGCCTTCAATTTTTTTTGTTACTGGTTGAGTTTCTATTTTTTTGAGGAGTTTGAATCTGTAAAACGTACGTAATTTGAATTACGTAATAAAATCGTACGTAATTTTACGTGTGTATTGAAAAACGTACGTTATTTTAGTCACGCAATAAAAAACGTACGTAATTTTAGCTGCGTATTGAAATACGTACACAATTTTGGTCGTATAATGAAGTACGTACGTAATTTCAGTACAACCCAAAGACAGAAGCTTTACAGCCACAGTTTTCATAAAGAAATCAAAAGCTAAACAGCACAAAAACAAAAATCACATGTAGTTCTTATTGCTATATGTGAAATTTCTCCCACTTCAACGCCTAATCTTCTTGCCATACACATTTAATGTGCCTTTATGTGGCGGGAAAGTCGATGATTAATGACAAAATTGTTTAATCATCTATACATACATAACAATTTGTATATTTTCCATTGTTATCACATAAAATTTAAAGAACTTTTTTTGGTGTGAAATTGAGTAAGAGTTTTACTGTTTATTTTATAAAAAACAAGAAAAAAATGAAACAAAATTTAGTGCCAATTAGAGTAATGTTAATCAATCTCACATTGGATAGATAAAAAAAAGTATAACAAATTATAGAATAAATCATAAAATTAACCACCTTTTTATATCTCTTAACATAAACATATACATTTTATCTAAAATTCTCATTTATCACGGATGTTTAGAATCTAAATTGAAAAAAAAAAAATAGTCACAATCATAAAAGAAAAAAAAAATAGAAGCAAAAATTGTGTAGAAGCAGTTTGGCGTATTTTTTTTACAATTATCTTACTTCTCATGATCAGTCATCGGTTCATCTCGAAATCCTTCACTATGAATTTCACGTCCTGCAATTTTTAACATTGCTTTAGCTTCATGTTCTCGGTCGATGCACGAGCCACTCATTCCTTCATCCTAATTTATGGATTGCATTTGCATTGTTTAAATTGAATTCAAATTGTGCAACAAGTTCCTTACCTCATCCTCTTTCGCTGGCTTATCTCCCACACCCCAAACCTCAATGTTACGAATTTTGAAATTCTTTGTTGCTGCCAATTGAATATAATTCTTGTATGTTGTACAGGTCTCTGAGCATTCACCGATACCGTATTCACTATCAAGCCATAATCCCCAATATTTAAATTGTCCTCCCATGCCGAGGCCTAGATTATGAATGAATGAAGTAAAAGTGGAATAAGAAGATGTAAATTTGCATGTTAAATCAATATTTATCAATTGATTGAAATCTTTAACGAGAAAATTAGTTGATAAAGTTTATAGGTGTGCAGCATATAAGAGCATTTTCTATTTAAAGCTGCTCTCAAATTTATTTTTGAAGAAAAAACGATTAAATAATATTTGAAAAATAACTGTCTCAAAACATTTAAACTAAAGGGCAAGTCCTATGACAAAATAAGGGACAGACAGACACAATTCAAATTCTCCCACATTCATTCAAAGAACCATCCACAAAAGCCACTACAGCTGCTCTTTACCGTTTTCCATTGTTTGTTGATGCAAATTCAAATACTGATAGTGATCATTATAAGTTGTTGCTGGAAAACATCGCATTCTTGGACGTAATGTGAATAAAAATGAACTATCACTGCCAACGAAATTTGGACTGGAATCAGAGAAATAAAAAAAAAGTTGTTAAATGAAACTGTAATTCAATTAAGTTGTAACGAAAAAGAGGAGAAAATAAAAGTTATTTTAGTGCAGTTTTTTTGTTTAATTCGTGACATATTTCGTCTTGTTATTTTACTGTCGTTCTTATTTATAACTCAGTTATTATTTTGATTTATTGTTCCGGCTTTAATTGGAGTTGGCTGGAGTTGGCAAAGAGTTGGGAGCAGAGCTTTACTTTTTTGCTAGCTTTGCCAATTTAATTGATTAACGGTTTTTTAAAATTTAAACATATAACGTATTTCCAGATTTTAAATTTTTTGAAGGGGTTGAAAGCTACGAAATTCAAATACTTAAAAGTCGTTAAAATTGATATTTTTAACTATTGATATGCACTTCAACAAAACAGCTTTAATATTTACCTGAGCGCCCACGAGTCAGTGGCAAATCCACCAAAAATATATCCATTTGTATCTTCAACAATAATAACTGTTGCTCCCTGATCCATAATACGTCCAATGAATGTTGAGAATGATTCACCGTGAATTTGTGACGAAAATAAGAATCGCCATTTCGATTGATATTCATTTGGCAATTGTGAATTAATAAAAATGATTTGTGATATATCTATGAATGTCGGGTAGTCAGGCATATAGTGAATATTTTCACATGTTGGAAGCAATGATTCTTCGAGACAAAATGCTTTCACTTTTCCACTGCCTTGACCACTTCCACCATCCTCCTTTTCGCGCTTCTCATCGTTGGGGTTTTTGACTGCTCTGTAATGATAAAGATGCAGGAACACGTGCTCGACCATTCGAAGGAAAACTGGATTTTTATGAAGCCTGAAAAGATTAACATTAATAAACAAGCAACTGGATTTATAGCTTAATAGAATTACCATCGTTCAGCATCCGCTCTCGTGACTTTCTGCGTTCCTTGTGTGACGACATCAAATGCCAAGCTTTCAGCTAATTTTTGAACACAATCTTTAACTATTCGAAAACCTCTCGTTTCCCACGATTTATATTGCGGACCAGACTCGAGTCTTAATGCACGCATATAACTGCTTACAACAGCCTCGACATACTGTAAAGGGAAATGTCATGTTGTGAGAGCTTTTTTATCGGTTAAAGCTTTTAGTAATTCGGAACATATTTACGTCACTAGATAAATCTGATAAGAATTTTCCAGACAAAAAAATCGGTATGGCTAATAAAAGGTGCTCATTCGTAAATGAAATTGATATTGGAATTTAAACGGTTTCAATATTTTTGAATTTTAACGGTTACAGTATTTTTGAATTTTATCGGTTCCAATATTTTTGAAAATTTAAAATTAACGGATTTTTAACGTAACGTAAGCCTTAAGTTCGACAAAAATAAATTAAAAGCTCACCTCCTTAATTAATGGGTAAGCAATTTCCGGTGTTTCTTGATCCTCTTGTCCCAAACTCGCCATCAACACTGTAATTCGCTCATCGATAGTTCCACGCACACAATAAACATACAATTCAGCAAATCGTTGAAATTCGACAACAGGATTTCTGTTTGTCAGTGGTCCAAATAGAAAATTCGTTATATACTGCGATAACCTCGGATCCATCTGTGTTCCCCAAAATTTTTTCAACTCATCCTCCTTAATTCGCTCGGAATTCTTACTAACAAGCTTAAATGAGCTTGCAACAATTGGTACTTCAACTTTATTAAGGAGCGAGCACTTTTCAGCTAGCTTTTGACTTGAGTTACCCATTTTTTTTGTTTCCCTACTTTATTATGTTTTTATATAATTTGTCGATGATTATGTGTATAAAATGCTAATTATTGTATTAATATTATTATTGCGTTGAGACTGCCTGTAAAGACAAAAATTACATATATGCAAAGTGAGAATACATGAGCAGGTGAACTTGAAAAAAGTTAAATTTGTATAGAAGTTGTCTCTCGTGACCGATTAAAGCGCTATTTTCATGAGTATGTATAGTAAGTCACTGACGAAGGTGCATTGTAAGCATGTAGAAATTGAAATCGGAAAGATTTAGAAATATTTGAAAAAATAACTGCCATTAAATATTTGAAAAATGTAGGTCAAAATTTATTTGAAGAAATAACTGTCAAAAATTATTTGAATCGTTATAAAAAATACGTACGTAAAAATTATTTGAATCGTTATAAAAAATACGTACGTAACGTAACCCAAACGTACGTCAAATTTTACGTAGGCAAGATTAAAGAAGACCTAGATAAACTAAATGATGTAAGCAGCTAGTCAGACAGGCAGGCAGACTATAAATTTCCCACAAAGAAAATATTCACAGAATAATATATGATGAATAAATAAACTAGGCTAGTCTATGAGCTTATGTTAGACACAAGACACTCACCTTCCACGGAATAAATGAAAATGCGAAAAGAAAATGAAAAGGAGAAAGGTGCAGCATTTTCTTTTGGATTGTTTACTTTTTTGTTAAAAGCTATAACGTAAACGAGAGATAGATGGAAAGAGAAAAACTAATTTCTTCAAAGTTCTTTCTTCTTATTCCTTATTCAGCCTTATTATGCAAAAAAAGAAGGAAGAAAGTAAGTTCGTAAGTGATACGCAATATTATCATAATCATCTATAATGACTGCTCATGGGTAAAAAACTGTAATGATAATAATATTCTATCTACACGAATGTCATGTGAATGATCATTATCAAGAATAAATAGCCTGCCTGCCTGCTCTGAACCATACGTGAAGTTTATGTTGTGTTTTTTGCGATAAGATATAGATTGTGTGGCACTCACAATTGGGCCTATGAATAGTAATCTAACTATATTAATAAAGTATGATTATGATTTATTTGGAAGTGCTGTGTTGGAGTTCTACAAAAAGCTTGTGTTTTAATTGATTTTTCTTCTTTCTTTCCTTTTGCCACTTTTCTATGTGAAAATATGCACAATTTGTCCCTTATCATTAACAGAACCTACCACTGTGTTTAACAAATCGCATGCCTGTCCAATTTAGAATGAAATATTGGCAAATTCTTATATCCACAAATAATTCTCTTATTTGAGCTGTCAATAATTATATGGATGTTTATTTAGTTGTGGAGATCTGCTCACTCAACCTCAAGCTCAACTTTTCTTTTGTGGAAAATCGAAGCAAAAATTGAAAAATTTTCTTTTATCGCGGAAAAACTTTCCTCACCTTTTTTCACAGTCGCAATTTTTCTTCTCTTTTAACATAAAGTCCACTTCCTCATAATAATTTTAATCACATCCTTATTAATTCTATTAATCAAATAGTTATCTTCTGATTTTGTCACTCTTTATGTTAATATTGTGATTTTTAACATTAGAAATAAATAAACTTAGTTTATTGTTGTGAATGAGAAAAAGTTTTCTTCGATTTGCTATCTCTTTCTCGTTAAAAAATATATAGGAACATTCAGCATGTTGTGTAACGTCGTTCTAGCTATGCTGTATATTGCTTTACGTCTGGATCTTGTTTGAGTTTTCTTACGTTTTACGTACGTATTTTGTTACGTAAAATCAATTTGAAAATTTCAAGTTCTCAAAAGTTAATTATTTTAAGTGTATTAAGCAGTTCCAATCACTATAAAAACCATCAACAAAGCACCAAGTATCATCAAACTGTGAGTAGTTATAAAAATTCATCTTAATATCTAATAAGAAAGTGAAAAGATTGAGATCAAGTAAATCGTGTGTCAAAACATACTAAATGACTCCGTAGAGCATCCCAAATCCCGGCATATCCATACAATCTCTTACTTCCCGTATCATCATTGTCTTTTTATTCGCGAAAGAAAAATTTATAAACATAGAAATTTAATAATTTAATTTAAATGACGATAAAAAGGTTTTTGTGTTTATAAAAAAAAGCTAATTTAGGAAAAACATGTTTACAAGAACGAATCGACAATTGAGGCCATTAGTGACTACGCAAATACGTTTAAGGAATTTAATCAAAATCACAGGAATTAATTTCGAATGTGATGATAAAAGTTATGCTGTTTATTTTACATTACATTTTAGTGCATTTTCCAAGCCATTTTACACGTCGAAAAGTGTGGAAATTCGTAACAGAAAGGCAGATTGGCCAGAAATCAATTGCGAGAGATATCGAAACAGCTCTCAAAGGTTCATTTGTATCCGTATTTGGCAAACAATAGTTAATAATAGAAGTGAAAACAACAACAATGAAGCTACAGCTGATAAGATGCTCTTTCTATGGGGAGTCTATTTCTCTGGATTAGTCATTGTCTCAAATTTCGAAAACGGACGATTTAAGTCAAATACCCTTTTATTTCATCTCGATGGTGGGATTTTTACGTCCTGCGATCAAATCAATAATCAAGAACAGCACCAAATAAATCAGGAACAATTAAAATTTAATAATTGTAATATCATTCCATCGTTAATCATTAATGAAGAGGCAGAACAGCTGGACAAAGACTGTGATAAAGATAGATACTCAAATTCTAATTTAAATAATTTTATAAACGGCAATAATATTCATAGCTACATCAATAGTAACAAATTAAGTCCATCATCACCACCAAAGTTCATAGAAGAATATCAAGACGAGTTTGAAGTTAGTGTTATGGATATCCTGAATGAGTCAATGTATCATAAAGTGCGATATGCACATCTAAACATCACAAGACATGAGATCCAGAATAGCTATACAATTGATAAATTAATTCAAATGCAAGAGATCCAGCGAGAAATTTATAATATTAAGGAGAAAAGTAAGCTACTAGGAAATCGAATTTGTATGAAAAGTTCAGCATGTCTCGATTTAAATTTAATTATGACAAAACCAGTCTTTTATGAGCCACAAAAACAATCGGGAATGGGACGAACATTAAGTCGATTATTAACGCAAGCACCGCCAAAGCCTGAGACTCTCCTTAAAGGTCATGAGTTAAAAATTAAAATTGAATGTGCGCGATTTCGCATAAAATTATTGACACAGGAGCGAGACAGAAGTAGACAATTTAATCAGCAATTAATGGCCAAACGGGAAAAACTTAAAGACGACAATATTGAGATGGAAACGTTAATTTGGAATAGCTTAAGAACATTAAATCGTGAGAATTTGAGAATGTATGAGGAGAAATTGGCATTGCAACGTGAAATCTTTACGAATGTTAGACTGGCCTTGTTGGAGACTCGACGATTCTTATTGAAAGAACTAAATGAAATTTATACAGTGATAAAGAAGAACGATGGTCAATATACAATTAATGGAATTCATTTGCCTGATGCTGAGGCTTATGGTGAATCAAAAACAAACTCTGTCGATATATCAATTGCTTTAGGCTATGTTGCTCATACTGTTCTCATCATTGCTGATATATTAAATGTGCCACTAAGAAATCCAATTAAGAATGAAGGCTCAAGATCAAAAATTATTGATATTATTAAAGTTTTTGAAGTTCCAAGTGATCGAATGTAAGTAATCATTTATTTGCTCGGGGCTGTTTTTAGTTTTGTGCATCAATTTGAAAAATTAATTGTCTATAAATATTTAAAAATTAACGGCTCGGAAAAATTTGAAAATTAACGGTTTTAAAAATCTTGAAAATACACTGCTAAAATTCAAAAAATGCTAAAAATAACGGCAAAATTATCAAGTCTCTTTCGGACCAATTTTACCACGTTTTTCTTAACTTGCTTTCTTATCTGTTTATTACACGCTTTTTCTGTTTATCTGTTTGTCGAGGTCAAATCTTGCGATCAATTTTTCGACCACTTCTACTGCTCCAATCGAGCTGAAATTTTGGATGCTGGGTTATAAGTCCAGAAAATCAAAGTCAATAAAGGTTTATAAGTCCAGATACAAAGTGCACCTGGACTTGAAAACCTCACGTGAAGTTTATAAGTCCAGGGGCAAATACAGCTGGAATTATGAACTGCACGTGAGGTTTTTAAGTCCAGGTGCAATTTGTTTCTGGACTTATAAACCTTTATTGACTTTGATTTTCTGGACTTATAATTTTCTGAGCACGATTTTTGTATCTGGACTTATAACCCAGCATCAAATTTTGCATCCACTTATCTTTTCGATGACAATACAATATTCAAGCATTTTGAAAACTTAAAAATGCTTAATTATAGTCAGAGGGCGAAGCCGAGTGAAGTTTAGTCGACTAAAACCGACTAAAACTTAGTCGGCTTTAGTCGACTAAAGAATTAACGGTTTTTTCCTTAGTCGGCTATAGTCGACTAAAACCGGCTAAAGTCGACTAAAGCCGCGACTAAGATCGACTAAAGAAGGATTTTTTAACTTGCGAAGTATAAAAATTTCATACAAAAATTCTCTTATTTTTGTCATTCAGGTTCGAATCTCAAAATATTTTTTGACTTTTTTAAACATTCAATTATTAAATTTCTCAGCATGTTAAAAATATTGTGCTTTACATCGTAGATACCTAAAAAATCTTAATTAAATTCCTGCTAAAGACGCTTAATTTTTCGAAATTTATCTAAGCGTGACATTGAAACATTTTTTTGCGTTTAACCGTGTTCATATCTTTTTTTGTATCTTATTTGACTAAACTCATTGCAACATAGCCATAGGTAGTTTAATTACCAAAATTTATTTTTAACGGTAAAAATTTGAATTTTTTTACCAAAAATTTTTGTCGTTGGCAAACAATTCGAAATTGCAAAATTTTAAAACATCACATTATGCACCCAAAACACTCTTAATGCAGAACTGAAGAAGTTTTAACTGCTTTTGAAAATACAATTGACGATTCAAAATTTAAGTTACATTAAAGCATTAAATTGCATCATAATTTAACCAAACATTTTTTTTCGAATATTTACGAGAAATTTAATCAAATTTTTAACGGCTTATGATCTTTCAAACGTTCTAAAACGTATTCATAGTTTAACAAGGATGATTTGCCTATGCTGTATCGTTTAGCAAGAGTTTTATTTGCTATTTAACCTATGAGTACTCAGGCGGAACGTAATTTCTCAATATCAAACTCATTAATGACTCAAAAAAGAGCACCCTTAAATCCTGAACGAGCTCATAAAATTATTATATTATTTCTGCACGATAATATAGAGTGCCTATTAGAATCCTTGAACAAGAATAATTAATTCATACTTAGATAATAAGATTAATCTACTAATAATGACTTAATAGTATGTTTTTGTTATCCTGGCTAGATCTTAAGTCCTTAATATAGAATGTTATTTCATTCGTATTTTAAAAGGACACTTTTTGTGACATTTTTATTTTTTTATTCTTCTTATAATACTCCATAAATGAATAAAACTAATATTTTGAATGAGTACTTAAAATATACTTTTACAGCTTTAATCTTTTTAATTTAATAATATTTGATTTAAACAATTTTAATAAGGGCAATTCCACGAGTAAAGGGAACTGAGAAAAAGCAAGTTGTAATATTTTTCTACTTGTAGGAATTTGAATTTTTTTTACCGTTATAAATTTTCAAAAGATTCAAACTAATTTTCATTGCCTTGATTATTATTACGATTATTACACAAAATCATGATGTTAACATGAAAAAAAACACATTAAATTCATTATTAACCCAATAAAATGTTATTTTTCGAAGAGAAATTATTCTTAGCAATAAATAAATTTAACGGAAATTCAAAATTCAAATATTCTGTTTATTGTTGGTTTTGGATAAAGCGCTGAAAACTTAACCGATTAACGCAGTATTTTTTAATTTTCTCTGTGAATAAAGCATTTAAGAACAGAAAAAGGGTACAAATAAGTAGAAAAAGTGAATATCTATGGCTTAAAAATATACTTGAGCACAAAAAATGGATATTTGAAGACGTTTTTAAGGATACAAGAAGCAAAATTTTCGTAAACTTAACCGATTAACGATGAAAAAACTGAATTATTTCAGTAAATAGACCTTTAAACGTTTAATTACCTATTTTAAAATGAATATGTTGAGTTATTTTTACATAACATATGAACAACTTTCAATAATTTTAAATTTCGAAAGTTATGAGTTTGAATCACAAAAAAATACGTTTCACGACTTTCTATGGTTTAGTTCTAATTTACAAACTAATGCTGATCGATGGATACTTTAAATAATTTTTTAAAACTAAAAAGTAGAAAATAAATAGTTTATAAAAAAAACTTTTTAAAAAAACCACGTTTTTACCCGTGGACTAAAAAGTAGAAAATAACTTTTTAATTGGGTTCAAAGGACATTGGTTTCAAAATTTGAGATTGATTTGAAAGTTTCATACTAAAGTCATGACCATACATGAATTGCAAATTTGTCTCCTTCGACCATATCGTATAGTTCTACATTTTAAAACGTGGAAGCATTCATTGATACTGTATATTTGGAAAGCTTAAATTTCATTGTCAACGGGTAAAAACGTGGTTTTTTTAAAAAGTTTTTTTTATAAAGTATTTTTTTCAATGCTGTACCTCATAAATGAACGACTACCATAAAATATCACATAAGACATGCTAACTATCAAATTTTACCAAAATTTTACTATCTTTTATAGCTTTCCACTTTTCTGTCGTGCATCACCGGTGTCAAATGCTGTATTATATGGCGTATATTTATTAAACCAAAATATTTCGCAGCTTAAATTCATGTTAGACATGAGTAAAGGAGACTTACGAGCAACTTTAGCCAATTTATGGGATCTAATGAATGGAATTAATGCTGAAATGTACAGTAGACGATTTGTAGAAGATGTAAAGCCAATTGAGAATTCCGCTTCTTCAATGGACTCCGTTCCTATCAATGTTCCACTATCATTAAGTCCACACATAGCTAGACGGTAAGAATATTTAATCATTTATGTAAATATTATCATAACTTTTTGAGTATGATTTTTCAGTAAATCGCGGTCGCTACAAGATTTTGACGACCTTATGGACGATTTTCATGATAATGTTAATTCATCAGCGCCAGATCTATCGAATCTACAAATTGACAATTAATCGATTTTCTGTTATAATTATTTAATTGCATAATACTGTACTCCACATAAGAAATGCCCTCAATCTATGATTATCATTATGAATATTATATATACACGTTCATTTTAAATGATTATCTATTCATATATTCATATTATGATTATCAATATTATGTCAATAAACTCTTTTTTCTTGAAAACTTTATGTTCTTATGCTGACTTATAGAGATCAGGCTGGATTGATGTTGTTCTGAAGATTTTATTGTTGTTTATTCGGTTTTGTGCTTAAATTATTGCTTGAATTGAGTTTCATTCTATTCCTCTCGAGTGACTGTATATGGATAATGTCAGGATAAGCCTATATATCCTCTGTTTTGTGAATTGAGTCACTTTAGTTGCAATAACCTGAGACAGGATAAATATTTTTGTTAAAATTGTTGTTTTATAAGTCTATTCATTATTTTGAAGTGGAATGTTCTATAAATCATATTGATGCTTATCTAAAGGACACATTTGTTGCATTACATCATCATAATACATCACTGATTCATCGGAAATTGCATTTAAGTTCTAAACAGAAGAAAAGATCTAGAATAAGAAATAATTTTCTCTGGTTTAATTTAAATTTTAAATTTAACGGTTAACACAATCAAACCACATAAACAACTCATGAAGGAGAAAAATCAAGAAATGTATAAGAATGGCAATGAAAATAAGGAAGTGAGCAACTTAGAAATCTCTCAACTTATCGAAAAGATGAGAGCTGAAAATACACAAGGAATTGATTCTCTGAAACATGATCTGGGCTCAGAAATTGCAAAGGAGAAAAACTTGAAAAAAATGTCTTCTTGAGTGGTGACCATGTTCAAGTCAAAAAGGACAATCATTCGAAATTAGTAATAAACGACATTTTGGACATTGAAAAAATCAAGAGCTGGATCCCAAATCTACGTGCAACAGTGCCCGAAAATCCATATGACCTTAAGTCATCTAGTATCAGTAAGCATATCAATTAATGTTTCAAAATTTCTCCTCAACAGCCAATGCACCAGTGATGATCTATTCATCGATCTTTCCAGAGAACGTTAAGCTTTAAAAATTACCGAGAAGACAAAATTCTCCTTTTTTGCGATTTTATTCAATTCAATTTTTTTAAACCGTTATTTTGACATTTATATTTTGATTGAACCTGTCACTTCCAAAAAAAATCGATTAATCGCTTGCTTCGAACATATTTCAAAAAGATCTTCAAGGAAACTTAAGTTTCATTGATCTCTTCGCTTCAATTTTAATTGTCAATATATATGTGGAATTATTTATTGTAATTAACATTCTTTCTATCTTCTTAAAGGTTTTTTATGCCTTTTCAAATAGTTTAAGTACTGTTTGAGGAGGCTTTTTCCTTTAAATGGAGATAAAATAGAGTGGAAAAAAAGTAATAAATAAATAAATAATAATAATCTTCAAAAAAAAAATGACATCATTGACTGTTTGAACTTGTAAGCGCTCAAACTTATCTAGCCAGCCTAAACACTCCATCTGTTTACAGGGGTTGTAAGCTTCAGATATTAACTGCGGTAGATCAAAAGGAATCAAGTGTAAACCTCATTCTGTAGTAAACATTCAAAAATTGTATACAGAAAATAAAGGAAGTGCTACTTGAGATACAAAAATGTAATAATGTGAAACTAACGAGCTTGTGAGAGATAATGTAATGTTTGGCTGTTTTATTTGTTCTTCTGTATGCCTTACACTTGCTGCTGTGTTTATTCTTAAATTTATGCAATATTTTATTTTGTTCGTCAGTTTAAAATTTCTTCTTTTATTTGAGCGACACATTTTGGAAGCATATCAAGTTTGTAATTCGATTGTTGCATACTGTTGTAAGATCAAGAACACATGTATTGGGTAAATTTGAGTGTTTCATTTGAATTTGGTTATGAGCAACGTTTCCTTTAAAGCAGGTACGTGTCTCTGTGGTGTAATTGACAAGACAGTTGATTTAAATTTAAGTACCCAAATTTAATAGGTTCGAATCCTGCAATTTTTAAAATTTGTTTTTTCACAAAAGTTATTTCAATTGCTTAAGGTTGCGAGATTAAGACAAAATTAGGCGATAGACTCTATTCTAGGAGATAAGAGAATGGATCAGGAACTTACAGTTCCTCCCTCCCAAATTTTGGAACATTTGACAGTTGATGTGAACAGCATAGCACGTTGGTAGCAGCGTTGGACGCTAGTAGCTATCCAAACATGTTCAGGATATATCCGTTAATATAGAAAGGTTTATTCGAGAAGGTTTGAACTTTTTGTGACATTCCAGTCTTGGCAAACCCTACAAATTGAATTTTGCTCTTCATGAAAACAATTCGCAAAAAATAAACTTAAGACGCAATAAGAATGTCACGTAATCATTACTATCAAAAAAGAAACAAAAAAATATTGCTGACATCATTTTTATGTCTTGCAGCCAGAACGCAGAACTTTTTTTTTTGTTGTTGGCGATCGAATTTCCTGAAATACAAAAAGTCATGAAAAAAAATATTCTCTTGAGAAAAAGCAAGCTCTGAGGGAAGAACTAGAAGTGATAACGCATTTTGCATATTATTTTTTCAGATTTGTTGTGTGTATTTTAAAAATAAAACGAACAACGTTATGTTTTAACACAATTGTTTTTTTTTTCATGTTGTATTGATTGATTGATATATAATTCTATTTATTTCAACAATGCGCTTAAAAACTAGCATGAAGAGTTATTCAGTTTGGGGTGGTTCACTCATCGCGTCAAAATTTGTTGTTTGTCTGATGTTCAAGAGGAAGTTCTGCAACAGCAAATGACAGAAATTAAATAGATAATCTGCGACAGGAAGGAGAGGAGGAGATGTACGTCACAAGTGAACGACCCCAATTAATTTCTGTAATTCCGGCGATTGAGCCAAAAAACAAAATTTAATAGTAATAATTTTTATTTATTTTTTTTCAATATTTTTCTTTTTTTTTCTTTCTTTATAATTCTTCATTCAAATTAAATGTTTTTTTTTTCTTCTCTCGAGAAATAAATCTGCGCGCGCCTTAAAAATGAAATGAATTCTACAATAAAAACCTAATACTTTACTTAATTTATTAATTAAACATATATATCCGATTTATTTCTTCTGCTTTTTTTCTTCAATTAGAGTAAGGAAAAAAAATACAAAATAATTTATACATTGAAACTATATACCACCGATATAATTATTTTCTTCTATTACTTTGTCTCTCACTTCTTCTTTACTTAGATGCTCTTTCGATTGCGAACATTATTACATATCTATCTCTTTACTTTTTCTTTTCTTCTAAACTCCTCATTAAATAAGAAGTAGGATTTTTTCCTATCAAATTCTATGAATTTTTAGTCCACTTGAGATAATTACTTCCTCTTCTTTAATGTAATATGTTGAAGTAAAAACTACTATGAGGATGTGTACATGAAATAATAAAAATAAAGACATGAAAATAGGGAAGATAAAATAAAATCGAAGAACATTTTTTTTTCTTTTCATAATTTAAATAATTACAATCTTTTAAATTATATAAAAAATAACTAAAAAAATCCATTTTGAGAAAAAATATCTATCAAGGGTTTTCCTCTCTCTTGTTTTTTTGCTTTCTTACTTAAACGATTAGCGATTTTTTATCATCATCATCATCATTATTTTGTTATTTTCCTCAATTTTTTTTTCTTCTTTCTTTTATCTTTCATCAATATATGTAGACTAAATACAAATGTTTTACTTCCTTGTCTAGTTGATAATCTTGAGGCTTTTGGGATATTCGAGCTGATTTCTGATTATTTAATCTATTTTGAACCTACTAAACTTCTGCTTTTCTGTAGCTTTACTGATCCTGTAAGCTTAAAGTTATATTCTGAATAGATCATTAAAACAGAAGATTGGAATAAGGTGGATCGAGCCATAAGTAGGTAAATCTGCCAGTGCGAGAGTACGGCTTCTGTGGCGTGAATGGTTAAGCAACAGACTTCAACTCTCTCTTTTGTGAGGACGTGGTTTCGATTCCCGAAAATGTCTATTTAAGACTGATAGCTAAGGTTAGTCAAAGACTTCACTGACTAAGTAGCAAACTGATCAGAAATCTCTTGTTTTGCCGCGATAAAGATTGATTCTTCCTTATTGAAGAAACTGGAGGACAGCAGTTACATCTGTCTACTTATTTGATGCACTAATGTAGCACAACTCGGCAAATACAGAATTTTTTCATATTTATGACATAACCTCAATTAAAAATAAAATCTTCAGCTATTTGATTATTTAGCTTCAACAAGATTTGCCTTTGGATGTCAATCAAATTAAATTGATCAAGTTTCGGTCTTTTTGGAATTTAGCAACTCAGCTTCTTATCGAAATCTTAGTGTTTACTGATAATCAAGCCTCTGGATGTTGAATTCAGCAAGTTTTGTATCAAATTTAACTCAGAAATTCCAGCCAACATCTCAAGAAACTCTTAGATTCTCAATTTTAACAATTAGAAAATATTTTTATCTAAAAAAATTGAACAAAACTTAAGAAATGATGAAAAAACGAAAAAAAAACTGATTTCCCTTATAAATTCTCTCATTTTCCTAGTTGATGTTACTTTCCAGATGATAAATAATTAGGAATTGACCACAATTAATATTCCAATTTAAGAAAAGTATTCATCGCAAGCCTCTTTATCAAAAAGAGACATCATAAATTAGTTTGTTATAAAAATTTGTTCGTTTCCTCTTGCAATTTTTTTCTTTCTTCTTCTTTAAGATGTGCAAAAAAAACTTCTTAAATTTCAAATTAGCTTTTAAATAATATGTAGTCGCACACAATTGGGTTGTTAAATACTTTTTTTTATGCTCATTCATGAATGAAGAAAAACTTTTAATTTAAAGAGAAATCAATTAATTATTTGTATATTACTAATAACTATTTCCTTTTCAATATTTACAACAGAAAAATAATGTAATTAAAATTTTTCTCTTTTAGCTAAAAACGAACGCCAATTTCAAGTTATAGAGGAGAGCTTTGTCGAATTAGTTTTTAATTTTGTGTCGTTAACTCGGAATTGGGGTTGATTGAAAGTTACTAGCTCTGTAAATTTATCGAATTTTATTGCTTTTAAAGGTTAAGTTTTTATTTTTTTGAAAACCATATAAATTCTTGTTATTAAAAAATTAACAATTTCATAGATTTCGATTGAATTTGAAATAATAAGTTGACAAATTAATAACGCAAAACCAGTAAAATTTAAATAATTTACTCCAATAAATTCCAATCAACGCCAACCTCCGATTCTTAGTATCGTGAAATTCAAATTTGTTTGTGACTTTTTAAATAAAAAGTTTTCAATTGGGAAATAAAATATTTTTAAAAAAGTTAATAGACCCCCATTAAGTGTGTATGTATTGTGAAACATATTTTTTTCTCTCATTTTTGTTTATCATTCGGCTAATTTTTTTTTTAAAATATAATTATTATTATATTCATTCATATTTTTTTTTGTTTTAGATATCAAAAAAATTCTAATGTAAAATTAATATTTTTTCTTCTTGTGGATTACTAAACAACTAAATTGAACGAATTATTTACAAAATTTGTTGAGGAATCGCTTCTAATAAGCTCAGACATTTCGCGATCCTCTCAATTTATTATTGAAGAGCTTTATTCTTTTAAATTCCTTAACAGCATATAGGGTTTTTAATTTTTTTGTAATTTTTTTTTGTTTTTATTTCATTATATCATTCCAACTAAGAAATATATATAATAAGAAGTAGGGGGTGATGGGTGAACTTATTGGAAACAATGAGAAAAATCTGCTTTAATACAACGATGTTTGTCCATTGTTTATTTTATTTTTTTTTGCGCAAAAGATGGAACTGAAATAACTTTGCTTGCAAATCATCATTATTTTTTTTTTAAAATATCTTTTATGAACTGAAAAATGAAAATCAGAATTTTGAAGATTTTTTGTGTATTTTTTTCTTAACTTCCACGCGAAAGCATGAAAGTCATTGTTTTGTCCTTATGCTTAGTACTCGAACGTGAAATTTTTGTTTTTTTAACTCTTGTACGGAATATTATCTTAATTTTCTTTCACAATATGAAAAATAGTATCGATCATTATTATTTACTTTCTGCTCAATGTTAATTATCAAATTATTATTTTGGATTTCATCATCTTGTTTCATTCGATAAGACACTTTTTACAGCAGATTCTTATGATTAGCTAAATTTAATTTTTTTTCTGTTTTTTCCTCATTCTTTTCCTCTTTCTTTTGTGTTACTTAATATGTGTGTGATTTTTCTTTTAAATATTATTTTGTTTTTTTTTTCTTTAGAAATCATAATTATCAGGTAAGCGCCATCTCGCACAATCATCACTTCCAATGCAAAACGCGGAAGTAGTCAGCTTTTAGCAGCCAAATAAAAAGGTATTTTCTAATCCTTCACAGCAACTCACAGTGAACAACGAAATGTTTAGCTTCACCCAAATTGAACATGTTCTGGTCATAACGAGGAGATATACGCATTTATCATATCTATCTTAGTACAAAGAAATTGTTACCACAGACATTTCAAGATTGCTATCGTCTGATGAGACAAATAATTCATCTAAGCTATAATCACTTTCTAATAAATGACTTTCATTTAAATATGATGATTCTTGATCGTCATGTGACGTTGCTGCTGTTAATGATGATGATGCAGCGGAACTTTGACACTGCGACTCATTGGTATTTCCATTTAGTGATGAATCGCAGTCAACTCTTGGTCACTTACTGCTCTCGCGAGATCCACGTCTTCGACGACCTTCTGATTGACTATCTAAACCTAAAATATTTTAACGGACACAAAAAGAGGAAAAAAAAGAGAAGAGAATTAGAAATTAGAGACTTCAAAAAATGCAAATTAGATTGTTATTAATTCAAACAGACGAGTTTCCTAATCATTAATAATTCTACCTGAAGACTTTTATAATCCAATTTGGCGGTTGAGAAGATCAAGCTTATCATGAATATTTAAAAAACTGACATCCCATTCCAATACTTAATTGAAGGTAAATTAATTAATTTTTTTACGAGATGTCGTGTTAAACAAGAATGGAGGTAAAGTAAATAGCGCATTCGCGCCAAAAATAATAAAATATTGAATTGTCATCTTCGAGGAAATTTCTTTAAATATATATTCAATGCCACAGCGACAAGATTATTAGAAACAACAGTAATTCGTACATTCACGATTCAATAACAATCGGTTGGCAAAAATTTCATCAACACAAAAAAAATCTATTGTCAATATTTGCACATAAAGCAAATATGTGTATCTAATGTTTAAAAAAAAATTAAAAATGTGAATAACCTACCAGCACTTCTTGTTTTCCGTCTTGGCTCATTTTGATCACTTTTAACATTTGTGCTGTTATTGTTTGTAGCATGTTGCGTGCTAATTGCCAATGATGACGATCCACTATGCAATGAACTTGCCTTCACATTCGCCTTATTTGATGCAAGTGTAGATGTTGTCATTCTTACACTACGTCTTGTGCCAATCTTCTCTTCAGATGGCTGTTTGCCGGGTGTACTATTTTTGCCGCCACTATGAGTCGATGAATTAAGACTGCCTTGAACAACTTGCGTTATTGTTATTGAAGGTGTTGGCGAAGTATTGACTGGTTTTACATTTGAAGCATTACTCATTGTATTGACAGTGAGAACTTTATGATTTCTTAACACTTTTTCTTCAGCGATAGTCGGTGATGTGGTTTGACTCTTGCTTAAGCGACTATTTCTTGACTTGCCAATCATATCGCTTAAAGGCTCATCACTGTCTGATGACTCTTCGTCTTTTTTGTTCGTTCCACTATTAAACTTCATATTTTCTTGCTTCTTTCCCGACTTATTTAACATAGCATTTTTGTCGATTTCATCCTGAGTTGTGGCATTACTTGCACATTTTCTAGCTTTTTTCCGTTGACTATTCATATCATCACTTACACACGACTGTGTAGAACTTTCAGAACCTTGGCGTTTTCTCTTATTTTTACCTGATAAAATTTGCTTTGGACTAAGACGATCTGCAGTTAATTTTGTTGATGATTTAACACTTGCAGGTGTATCGGGTGGACTTTGCCTATTCATCTCTAATGGACTTTCTAGTTTACTACTTGCACGCGTTCTTATACGATTATCACTGTCGCCATGGAGTGGTATTTCAATTGAAAGCTGTTGAAGCATATCCGATTTATTTTCAGATTTTATTAGAGAATCTAATTCATTTGATGATGTTGAATTAGTTCCTGTAACATCCCTTTGTACTTTATCTGCTGCTGAATATGTATATAGCGGAGGATTAGTTCTGAATGGTTTTGGCTCCAATGATTGACTTTTATGATTTTTAGCCTCTAAATCATTATCATCGTCCTCTTTTTTAACATTCAAATGGCGATTTTTCATCAAATTAGTTTCATCTTCTATTAGCATCAGTGACGCGTCCATGACCTTTTCATCTTTGATCTTAATTATTTTATTACAACACTCATCATTTGTTGTTTCCCTTTTCTCATTTAAATCTCTTGCAATATTCAGGATATTCTCGTTTAAAGAATAATCTCCATTTATCCTCTCCTTGCTATCACAGTTCTTAATAAGCTCATCAATACCAGAACCTTCCATTTCTGCTAACGCCGCCTCTATCTCACCTATTTCTCCTTTCGATTTTACATCACCAGGATGATCATCTTCTTTAGGGCTAATTGATCTTTTTATCCCTCTCGCAGGTGGACTATGACTTGTTTGATGCGGACTTTTCTCTGATAAAGCATCCATAGACTCAATACCACTATCCTCACCAGTTTGCGTTTGAGTATTTGGTGATTCTTGATGTGCGGTTGATGATAATGATGATGATGATGTACCATTTGATGGATTTAAATTCGAACTATTATTTGCACTAATAACATTAATACGTTGTTGTTGCTGTTGATCTTTAGAGAGATTATTATCTTTTGTTTGAATTTCATTCCTTTTACTATCTGGATTTATGCTAGTAATTTTTATGCTATTTTTACTACAATTATCCTCACGATTGAGAATGGTGTCTTTTGATGCACTCATTGCTGTTGATGTTTGCATCGCACTCATTGATGTATGTGATAAAAGATTTGATTTTTGTTGTTGATGCTGTGAAACGGTGATATGTTGTGTCACTGACTCAAGAAATTTTTGCTTAAATTTTTCTTCACTTATTGTATCGCTATTATCTTGTGGAAGTTGAGGTGTTGAAGATGTCATTACTCCGCCAGTTTGACTACTCGATAATAATGATGTTTTACTAAGATTATTAGCATTATTATTATTATTATTCATAGTAGAGGTTGTAAGTGAATTTAAATCGACTAAATTAATTATTTTTACTTGATGTGATGATAATGACGATGTTTTTGCCGATAATTGTCGATTTAATTTATTTTGCCCACCACCTACTCCACTATTATTATTGCTAATTATGGTGGAGTTTAAGCCCTTCAAGTTTTTTGACGATGACAAATTTGAATGTTGTGGTAATGTGCCAACATTAGTTGAGCCGATCGTACCAGTTAGAGTTGTAAAGTGAATTTGTTGTATCTCATCATTCTGATGTTTTATCTCATTGATTGTAGTGCCACTTAATCGACGCTTCTTTCCGTCTGACATTATAAGACCATTTGTGAGTTCACTTAAATTTTTTCTCGATGATCCATCACCGAATACGAGTGTCGTTATGGTATTGTTTGATGGATTGTTTGACACCGCCGATACTGACACATCTGAGAAATTTTTATTTCCTGAAGTTATGGATGATACTAACTTTGCTGTATTGTTCTGTTGATGATTTACTTTGTCACATGATGTCATTCTAATATTATCTTTATTGTGTACCTCAAGATGGGATTGTGTATTGCCCGTTGTGGCCGATATTGTCACATTATAATTTGCTAATGAATTAACTAATTGTTGAGGATCCGAAAAATTCTTTATACGAGCACTCAATGGAATGTCCTGTGATGTTAGCATCTGATGTTGCTGTTTCTCATGATTATTTAGAACTAAAATCTCTTTTTGCTCAATCATTGAAATCTGATGATCTTGTGAATTTAAGCGCTTTAAGGACTTTTTTGAAGCATCATCAGTATCTTCACCGCCCTGGGATTTTTTTCGATCTTTTCGACTATTTATCACTACAGAATTTCGTCCGCGTAGTGATATATGCAATGGTGGTACACGAAGCTCTTCATTTGTGTTTCCTGTTGATGTTTGAATTAAAGATATTTGTTGATTATTAGTTCCGATTGTAGTCGGTGCTGTAGATGTTGGCGCAATTATTTGATTATTATGCAATGTTATGTTAGAATTACCATTTGTATTGAGAGACGACATTAGAAAGTTAGTTCCTTGCTGATTTGACTGTGCAACAAGCTGGATGTTACCTTTATTTATTTGCTGACTGTTAATCGACTGACTATTAACATTAAAATTCGATACCGTTGTTGGTTTGCTGAGATCCATTTTGGGGTCCATTTTTGAAAGTTTCAAAACAAGTTTGACTGACTTTTCAGTGCCTCCTTCGGACAATATTTGCTGTTCTGCTGTCGTCACTTGAGGAATTGTTGAATTTTTCCTAGGTTTACTAGCTGAATTTGGTTTAACTTTTGGAACTTTTTCTTTCGGTGGTTTGAGACTCTTCGGTTTCCGCGTCGTTGTCTTAATAGTTCCGTCTTTAGCTATCTTCTCTTTACGAGTCTTTTTAATTTTTGTATTTAAAATATCAGTTGAATTTGACTTTTCACCATCACTCAAATCACTTGCGCCTTTTGAGAATCCCGTGCTGCACGAAGTTTCATCATCATCAGAATAGAGAGAATTGGACATATCAGATTGTATCATGTCACCGAATTGCTTGAGTAATATTTTCTTTCGTTTTGATTCTTCACTGTCATTATCTGAGCCATGATCACTATCCTGATCACTTGGCATTGGCTCTAAATCACCCGTTAACGGATTAATCAGAAATTGTTGTTTTTTCTTGTCTTCACTGGGAAATTTTTCTTTCGATTGAACATTCTGATTAATCGTTGGTGGTACATTTAATGACGTTGTGTTTGTTGTTGTTGACTCATTTTTTGCAATTCCACTACTATTATTATTGTTATTAACATTATTATTATTATTTTGTGAACTAAATTCTAAATCCAGATCCTTTCCTTCTAATAATGAATCAAATTTAGAATCAAAGAGGGCACATTCTAACTCGCTGGGATTCAATGTCGGCAGCAGCGAGTCTAGTTCGTTTTTTGTTAAATTGAGATCAGGTAAATCTGTCAAATTCAAACCGAGCGTTTCACTACCACTACTATTATTAAGTTGTTGTGACTGCTTCGGTTCAGTTTTGATGAGCATTTGTTGTAAATTTGCATTTTGTTGAGGCACTGATTGGATTCCATCAATATGATTTTGTTGTTGTTGCTGCTGTTGACTTAAATTGTATTGCATTTGATATCGAGCAAACTCTTGATAGCTACTTTTTGTTGCGGAATCCATTGGTTTATTTAAAACCTTCATTGGATCATAAAAATTTGATGTGGAAGATTCAGCTTGTAAGGATGTAGACGATGATGAAGAAGGCATAGAATTATATTGGGCTTGGATATTCTGTTGCGGCAAATTTCCTCCTACTGTCTGTTGAATTGGCTGTCGAAACTGATGCATTTGACCACCATGCTGAAGATGGGGAGGTCTCGCAATCAATGTTTGATGATGCTGGTGTATCGGCACTATATTGCGAATATTTTGCTGAAGTTGTTGCGGCTGCTGATGTTGTACTGAAGGTCCAATTAAACGTGTTACTATTGATTGTTGTTGCGGTTGTTGAAGTTTATTATTAATTACACTGTGAGAAGGCACTGATATTGATGGATTCAAAATGGTCGTCGAGGCATTATTAACATGCTGATGTTGCTGGTTACTATTACTTATTAATGTCTTAGTATTTGATAATGCTCCAGCATGATTTAATATTTGCGTAGATCCTTGCGAATTAAGAACGATCGATTGTTGCACAGGTAATTGAGTCTTATTTACATTTACGCACTTATTAATATTCACTATGTTTGATTGTGACTGCATATGATGCAAATCTGGAACAGAGCTATTTGATGTTACCAAGCTTGTGTGTTGGTTTGTCACCGTCGCAGAAGACGCTTGGATAGTGGTTGCGTTATTTAAACTACTATTGTTAACAACTTCATTTTGTAAAAGATTCACTAATAAAGGGCTCGATATGGCAATATTATTATTTGCACCACCACCACTACTAACACTATTATTATTATTGTTATTATTATTTATATTATTTGACATTTGCTGTTGAGGATGATGAGATTGGGTTTGTGATGTTCCTAATGAAGAAGCTTGCGATGATGATGAAGCTTTACTATTTAAATTACTATTAAAATTACTATTATTATTCGGATAGGGTGGTGGCGGTGATTGACCAACAGTATTTGAAGGCGCTATGAAATGTTGACTATTTCCAATATGTTGTTGATTCATTCCCATAGTATTTTCTCGCCTTTGTATCACTCTTGCCTGTGTCATACTCTCAAATGGAAATTCACACGCAGTATCCGTTGTAACATTTGGCAGCACATGAACAGGCAATTTTCCATCCATAGGACATATAGTATTTGGTGATTTAAACAAATTCTTATCTGTGGGACCATTGTGTAAATTTGAGGCTGGTTGTTGTGATAGACTCGATGATATTGAATTTGAAGTCGATGGAATTGGATTATCTAGAGAATGCGACGATGTTGAAGCATTTGGTTGTTGTTGCTGTTTATTTTGCGTCAAAATCCTCGTTAATTCTCCTAAACCCTCCGACGATTGCTGACCAGCTGCTGTATTATCTAAAAATAATATACATAAACGGTATTAAAAAATTTGCGCGGAAATCCCAATACAAGTAAACTAACCGGATGAAGTCCGTAGTACAATTTCTCGATCAATCAATCTTAAAGATATCACAGTATCACCCTCTAACTGAACTGAAAGTATCCCCAGTTCCCTTAATGCACTATTGCCCTCGGCTGCAAGTTGTCTTAGTTTTGATGCCGCTTCCTTTGGAATGGACAAAGTCACCCGAACCGAATTCCATGGTTCAACCTACATTTTGTTTTCAAAGCAATAAAATCAATTAGTATTTTTGTATTCGAAAATTTTAGTGGGAAAATTACCTTATTAACTTTAAGACGTTTTGATTTAGGTTGCTCATCAATAAGGCTGTTGAGGCATGCTACAAGTTTATTTAATTTTTGTGGAAATGTTGGATCGTGGTAATCTCCTTCACAAATAACAACTGCTGTTAAATTATCATTACCGTCACTATCTTCCGCCATGCTACACATTAATACACATAATAAAACATATTTATTAATCATTTTTTGAAAAATATTTATAGACTTTTAAAAAGTTTATAAAATAAGGATTAAATTTAATTAACTTTTGTAGCATGAATGAAAATTTTTCTGAGAAAAAAAATATTTTTTGTGCATTTATGGTGTGTATAGTAAACACAAAATTCGTGTATATACACAAGGCACCATAATTTTTTTTTCTTCTCTGTAAGTGTGTTTACTTCTATCTCTCATATTTTCATTCATATAATTTTATTGATAATTTTTCTATACTTTTTGACTTATTAAATAAACTTTCTGGACCAAAAATAAAATCTTAATTCACTATTTTTGTTAAATTTTAACTCACAAAGAACAAAAATAATTAAGCGAGGGTAATAAAATGAAAATTTAGTTTCTCGTTCCAAACATTGTGTATGTTCGTTCATTAATTTTTTTTTCAGGAAAGGAAAGGAAAAATGGAAGCTCAATCATTTTTTCTCTTGACTTTTTTCTTCACTTCTCGTTTTTATAAAATTTCAGAATTTAAAATTATACAAACCTTTAATTGATCTTTTCCATGCCTTTTCTTTATGGATACATAATTGCTGATTTTAAAACCTAGAAAGGAACCATTCACGGTGGCAAGAAGAGACTGAAATGAAATTTTTTGTTGTTCCGTTTCTTTTCTTTTTTTATATGAGAGAGAGCTCATGAGCTATGGACGAATGGAAAAATTGACTTTTTTGATGGCATACGAATGAAAAGATAAGAACAGAATGCTTTTAATTCAACAACATGAAGCATAAATCATATAATTAAACATGAATTAAATAACACCTTTCAGGGATTTTGTGCCAAAATGTAAATTAAAATTGTTCAGATGACGCAAAGCTCTGAACATAATGGATAATATTGGTAGGTAGGGGCTATACGTCATGTTTGTCATTAGGCTTGTATTGAAATTATGCATTTCCACAAAACATTCAGTCACAACAAAATGCCCAGAAAACGGCAAAAAATTTATTAATTAATTTTAATACAGTCCATAGACATTAATGTTGAAGCATCCCAGTCGTCGCCATTTTGAATGGCTCTTATTTTGTGGGAGTGTGTAAAAATCAAATTAAAATTTTCTACTGCCAGCATGTTTTTCATTTCGTATGCTTATCATTATCATTTTTTCCATTATCCAATGATTATTATTATTACATGGCTTCAATTTAAAACTTTAATCTTTTATGCGAACGGCAAGGTTTCTTCTTAGGTGTTCTCACTTTTTTCTCTTATATATACTCTTCAATTTTTTAATTCTTTCTTTTCACACAAACTCTATCGTTTTCACACTTAAAAACAATATTTAATTGATTAACACAATCTTAAAAATGTTCTTCAACATATTATTAAACTATTTATGTTTAGTTTTCCAGTTTATTTTGTAAAATTTTAATATTTTTTGAACGATCCAATTTTTTCTCTTTTGAGGCGAAAATGATGCAAAACTGAGCAACGACAATTTTTTGAGCAACAAAAATAACGTTGAGCAATAACAAAAATCGATTCCCGCCATACAAATTCCTTTTCACCGTTATTCGTTTGTTTACTCATCGATGAGTCTATGAACTTTGTAAACTGTTTGTTGCTTTTGGAATTTCCTTAATGGTGAAATTTTGAGCAATTTTTAAAGTTTCTTTAATGAGCATATGTAGGAACTTTACTAGTTGTAAATTTATTGTTGATAGCTTCTCTGAAACTTTAAAATTTTTCGAAACTATCTTAATGTTTGTAATTTAGAGCATAATTTTGTATTTGATGATTATGATATTCTGGACCTTTGTTGTTAAATCTTAACGATAATCTGTTTAATTTTATATTTGTAGGACCAATGATCAACGTCGTAACTAGTATTTAGTTTTTACTACTTTGCTCGCTGGATATATCAATTTCCTCTAATCCTTGTCTTGTTACTGATTATACATTTCCATTATTATTTTACCATAAATAAATCATAATCTGTGCTTCATCTCCTAATTTAGTCTTAATCTTACACATGAAGATTTTTGATTGAAGGGCCCTGTCTAGCGGTTTGAAGTTGCTTAAAAGTATTGTCTTTTTTAGTTTATTGATGATTCATTAATTGATTTTTGGTACGATATGATTGAATTTTTGGAAACCCTTATTTGAAAACATTCAAGAATACAACTTATATGCATGTTATATTTTTAATGGTATGTTTAATTCGTAACGCTGATAATAAAAATCATTAAAATTAAGCGATATAGTTCTAGATCTTTAGATTTTACTGACTATTAACATGACAAACTGTTTCTCCGCAATTGAACTTTTTTTGTAAAGAGTAAGGAGCACGAGACCGAAAATTGTGGAATGCGACTTAGACTTCCCCTATTTAGTTATTTTTTTCACAGTTGCCATTATCATTAGCTACTCATGTTTCAATACGGTTATTTTTTAGAATTCGCTAATGAATAGCAATGATTGATGTTACTTCCTCGAGAATGATTTTCTGACATAACGATGATCAATTGACTAGCTTCAATGTCAAATTTTTTGACCGTATTTACTATATCCCTTCTAAGAGCCTAGTTCTTATTTTAGAATTGGATAAAACTTGTGACAAGAGGATACAACAAAGAATATATCGATCATCAGCATGGCTTGAATATTTTTAAAAATTAATGTGCAGCTGACATCTGTTTGAGTAATTAAATTACCTGACCAAATTTTCTAGGTAGAATAAACTTCTAATTAATATTTTTTTGCACGAAATCCTTAATTAACTTTAAGTTATCTGTATGAACTGAACTGACATGAAATGACAATTAACTGAACGGATTTGGCATCATGATTTATCATCAATTCTAAGCTATGAATGATGATTATCATAAGTAAGATATGCTTGATATTGTTAGAAATTAAGGATTTATGCATGAAATAAAGAAGTTGAGTTGAGGAAATAAGCTAATTTAACTCATTTGCTCAACTCAAAATTTTGAAATCTTTTTGATCGTTGGAAAGATGATGGAAAAGTAATGACAAGATATATTGATATATATCTATTAAATTCGCTAGCTACCATATCCTATCTAATCAATCCCGTCCCTTAACCGAACCTAAAACACAAAATGACGGTAAATTTATATCTAATAAGAATTTATGCCTATGTAATAACTGAAAAGTCTAATGATGATGACGATTATGAATGATCAATAATGATGGATATTTCAGAAAAAAATACATTTTCTTATATTATCCGTTTTATTAAGTTATACTGCATGAATGCAATTTTTTTAACACCAATGGTTCAAAATTTTACTTTTCCATCAAATTTCTGCCTTGTTTTTGTATTGGAACTAAATTACTGTTTGCGAAAAAAATTAAGAATTATGGATATTTAATCGCGTTTCTCAACGCACTGCATGTATCCGCCGGCTACCATACGTTGGAATACTGCCTCTGGATCGTAGTTTCTAAAGGAATAAAGGAATGAATTAATGATACATGGACTTTAAGACGAAGATCCAGTGGATTCTTACTTGTAGAATTCTGCATAATCGCGTTTCTTGGGCTCATTGCGAAAGACTTGCACGGCTACCATGACAACAGTGACAAAAACTCCTGAAATGAGAAGGTTTTTCTTGATTTGATTTTGGAGAAGACCTCGAAGTTGTGGCTTGGCGATCGACATTTTTGTTGTTGATTCTGAAAAATACAGGTTAATGATAACGTAATTGTTGATTACTGTTTAATTAAGTATCTCGTCTAATCATATTCACTTATTATGTCACAAAATTGATTATATCACTAGTTTATTGAATTAATAAGAATTAATGTTGAATATCACCGAATATAAACTTTTCAATATTATGTAATTTTATGTGAAAATAAAAACTCGATTTTTACTCTAATATCAACACTTTTCATATTATAACTATTTTTAATGCTTTTCTATTCATCTATAAAGCTATTTAATTAAATTTTTATTAACAGACCTTCAGTAATTTAGTAGCAAATCCGTGAATTTATATGCGAAAAAATCAATGATTTTTTTTTTCTCAAAACTTGATTTGCGCAAATTTTTCCCCTTATTCGAAATCCAAAAAATTGCGGGACTTTTAAATTCAAATTTTGTGTTTAACGGCTATTACCTCTACAAATTTCTGAAAATCCTTAAATAAGTGTCATAGAATTTTTAAAAATGTCAATAAAATCAATATCTAGACATGATATTTCTTGTAGACGACAAATTATCCGTTAAAATACGTTAAATCATAAAAACATTCATTTCAAGGAATGCAATTTCAATATATTATAGATCCTCCCACAAAAAAATCCTTTTTGATCATCTGCAAGAGCAAATTGGTCACTTTTTTGAGAAAAGATAACACACCTTAATTATATTGTGACCTAAAAACATTTATGTAATTCTAATAAAATTCTACCTGATTCCTCTGATTTTGGAAACTTTTATGATCCTGTGAGAGGAAATTCTCTCATTTACATAGAGATGCTCACAGAAAATTTGAATATAAAAGACGTGCCTGATTATGGTTCATTATCAAACGTTTTCAAACAACCAAAGTGAATAGTAACAGCTGAGCTGCAAAGATTTAAGAAAATAAATAAAACGTTTTCAAGCACAAAATTACAAAAAGGTACGAAAACTTAAGTATTATCATTAGTGATAAAACAGAAGCAGCAGCATAAACATCGTTTGGAATTTTGTTTCCCTTATTCCTTCCTGTACTGAATTGGATTTCAATTATTGGCGAATGCCATCTGAACTTTTAGTACGGAAGAGATATGGGAAAGAAGGTTTCAAAAATCAACGGAATTAACACTTATTAAGTGCCACAAAGCATCTGGAATCAGCTTTATTGCTCGTAGGGTTCAGCTGTACATAATTGTAAATTAAAATTTAAGTACGGTTTTACTCTGCGGGTTATTAAGCATGACAATCATCAGAAATCAATCTCCATTCTTAAATTTTACAAAACAATCCAAAACAATCGTTTCTAACAGTTTACTTCTCTCTTCTTAAAGATGAGCATCAGTATAGAAAATCCAGCAATGGATTTAAGGGAAATCGATGTATTGAGATTCTTTTTTGAAGTAAATCAACAGCACATGGACCCTGTAAAACTTCAACAAATTGTTCTTCAGCATCAACTACAGAATCAGTTGCGACAACATACATTTCCATATTCACCAGTGTTTAGGCCTAAAGAGATGAATGTATCAACACCAGAAGTCAATCGAGTTACAAACATAAGTCAAATTCCAGAACCAAAAATAGTCTTTCAGTATGTTCCATCTCCACAATTTCCTACGCCTACATCCACACCAGAACCTGAGTTTTATGATGAAGTCAATGATTATCAAAAGGCAGAGAAGCAATCTAAAAGTTTTCACATTGAGGATCGTTGCAATTTCATAAAATTAAAGGATGAGCCAAAACAAAAGATTTTAATGACTCCGACATCTTCACATCATGAATCAGACATGTCGGATCATGAAACTTTACCAGAAAGCAATTCTCGTCTACCTCCTTTAAAATTATCATCAAGAACAAGATTATGGAAAGGATACAGCGTCTACAATAATCTACCTGAAATTGTTATGACAGAATATGACAGAATTTTAAGAGAAAGTCATACAATGAAGTTAGAAGTCATCGATGAACTAAATCATGCATTTCCGGTTAACTATGAATATAATCCAAAGAAATCCAGAATTAGGACAAATTATTCAGATCCACATATTGCAGATGATCGCACAAGAAATAACTTGGCGAGTAGACGTTCGAGGCAAAGAAAAAAGTTCCTAAATCACATCCATCAATACTCTGTTGAATTTGATCAAGATGAGAACCTTTTGTTGAACAAACAGGAGAATTGGCTTCGAGAAGTGATAGCCAATCTAGAGAACAAGATAATAGCTAGTAATTTAAATGATGATATTAAAATTTATAAATTAAGAAAGCAGTGCGGTTTCGAGTAAAAATAACAATCATGTCTTATTGATTAAGTCAATTTATGTTAGTCCTTAGCTATTCCAGTAAAAAAATCTTTTTGTGCTCCTTGTATATAAGCTGTACATATATAGATTTGTAAATAGAATAATTTTAAATAATATTTATTAAAAATTGTAAATAAATTAAAACCAACAATCGTGTTACTTTAAAAGGAAAGAAAAATATACAACTTTATTTATTTATTGTCAAATTTAATCTCAGAAAAATTCAACGATTAATGATGTTCAAGTCAGAGCTGTCTGCTGAATGCTTGACAAAAATTCTATTTAACACAACCATTAGTGTCTCTCTAAACCTAGGCACGAATAATTTCCTTAATATAACTAGCCAATATCGATACTAGATCTCACTTCATTGAGCAAAAATTGTTCATAGCTATTTAAATATAAATTTCGGTTACATTGGATTCTAGACTAATCCACACAGTCAGCAGCTCTATTACAATTCACAAAATTTATATTCACTTTTTAACACAGTGCAATTTCAATCAACATCAATAAATTCAGATTTATTTAATAAATGTAGGAAAAAGTCTATAAGTTCAAATTCGTTGTGTTCATTCATCAACTTGATAGCCACACAATCTTTCCATCATTTTGAAGAGACAATATCGTGAGTCATACTCCATGTCAAACCAATAATTTACAGCTATGCATTTGTGTGACTGCTGAACGTGATGATACCAAAGAGTTGGAAGGTATAAAATGTCACCAGCATTAATACGTACTCGATGAACATTGGCTTTTTGATAATGTGGATATTTTTTCAGGTCTGGAGATAGTGGATCTATTGATACCCAGTCAATCATTATTGGCTTTTGACAGTCTGAAATTTCAAGTTATTAAGTTAAAGATTTAAAACCTAATTTGATAGTCTTACCATCAAACAATGGCTTGATTCTCATGACACCATCATCGTCTGTCTCATAAATTGCAGATTGATATGTTAAACGAGGAATAAGATGAACGTCGACAGGTGGAATAAGTATGAAATCTTTAAAACCTGATATGACACAATAAATGTTCTCATATGGATCTTTATGCATTGACGATACTGCTCTCGAATCTCCCATCCAAAAGTTTATTGCATCTGGTTCTTTATCAAATGCTTCTTTTGCAAAATTTATTAATGAATAGTCGAGATCGTCGACGAGTTCTGGAAAGTCTTCGGTAAGATTTGAGTTCTGTCGCTGGATATAATGGACAGGTCCTCTTAAATTGAAAAATAAATTTAAGAAAGATGCAAGGATGAAAATCAAACTTAATATGAGCAACTTACTTTTTGTCATCTAAAGCGTCTAAAAAATCACTCATAGTCATTGTAGCTTCCTCAGGCATCACAAAGTACTCCTTCCCATCCCTGCTATTTTTTGCAATTCCATCGGCATATCCATTTGGTGTGATTGCTACATTGACATCCTTCTCTGGAATCATCTTTCTATAGACACACACATTCATTCCAATTATACATTACAAGACTTCAAAAATAGACATTTTTTTAATGATATTTGAGAGATATAGATGGATTTGGCGATAAACAAAAGACTCAATTAATTGGTAAGGATGAGACTTTTAACTAATAAATCGACAATTATTAATTGATTAAGTATTATAAATTGTGCACAAATTTCTTGAATTAAGTCCAAAAATATATATGAAAGAAAGACCCCGGAGAGCACAAGTCGGATAATCGAGACGAAATCCTACGCAAGGAAGATATTACGGCGACTTTAGGGCAAATTTTTCGTCATGACGAGAAATTCGCCCTTAGATCGTAACCACGTCGCCCTAGCGTAGGATTTCATCTCGATTATCCGACTTGTGCTACTCGGGGACCTTGTTTTAAAAATAAATTTCTGTAGCATAATACATGATCTTCAATTTTCTTTTCTATAGATATAAGTTTTCATGGTATATTATTTCTTTGCGGACGAAATACCTTAAGTATTTTGAATTCCATTTCTTAAAAGCTGTTGTTTCTGTCAAAGCATTACGAATGACAAGTGGTAAATTCTTACTGACATGATTTCTGATGAACTCTAATGATGTTGGCATGTCAAATCTCTCGACTATTTTCGATCCGAGAAAAATTTCTAAAAAGGATGGTTTTTTTTTGTTTTAAAAACATTTTTTAAATGATAAATTATTAACTTGCCACTAGCTTCCATCGACATTTTATTGAATTCCTCAAAGAGTTTCGGATCAAGATTAAATTTACTAGTCATTTTGTTTAAATCACTATCCTAAACTACCTTAATTCACTAAAATTATTGAGCGCAAGTGTCTAGTTTAAAGCATTCAAAATAAAACTCATACATAAGAAACCTTTCGATGTTGTTTATATCGAAACATTTTAATTTTCGATGACTGCATTGTGATTGTTTTTGAGAAATTTTATAAAACTTAATCAAGAAAATCTTGGAAAATATTTTAAGTTTTTAAAATTCTTAAACATTTAATTATTTATTTTCAAACATCAAACGAAGTTAAAGTCAAGCTACAAAAGTAATATTGGACGAGTTAAACAACTTCATATCGAGGGACTGTGTCAATCAAATGAAATTTCTCATTAAATCCTAAAATAATCAACAAACAAAGCAGAAACTTTTATTTACATTATCATATAATCCACAACAATAATCCTAATCGTGAAATTAGTCAGCGAACAAATCGTAAAATTTAGTCTTAAATTCATTTTCGAAAATCCAAAACATTCGACATCAGCAAAGAGGAATGTAAAGTATAAACAATTTTAACACAGGATTGAAGCAACAGAAGCACACGAAAATGATGGATTCAAGCACACAACTTGATTTATATTTGACAGAAATATCAATAGAATTGCTTGGTAATCGAATATATGATGTTAATGGCACACGACAAAATCGATTGATTAGTTTGTTCCAAGCTTTGCCAGAAGAGGATTGTGATAATGATAAAAGTGAAAATTCAGTAGATATATTATGTAGTTTAGGGTATGAACAAAATTTTAGCGATAATGAGGACTCTGCGATTAATATGCTGGAGGATCAGATGGATTTCATACTGTCTGACGCTAACAATTCATCAGGTACAAATAAGGATATTATAGATAATTTAAGAACAATAAAGTCAAATCAGATGCAGTTATTGAAAGATTCATCTGAGACACATGTTAGAAAACTGGTTGGTAAGAATAATAATGAATGACGCTACAGATTTTTTTGAGGTTATTACTTTTCAATTTTATTGTTTTAGAGCGTAAGAAAATTGTCACATCACTTAATAAGATAAGACAAGCTAAGGCCAGAGAATGTACATCAGTAGCCACCCAAAGTAAGATTTTGACATGTGTTTCAAACATATGGTAACACCTTAGATAACATAAAAATTCTTTTAAGTTCTGTAACAAAATGTGCATGATAAAATCTAAAACCTAGTTTCGAAACTACTTTCGTTCTATATATATTTCCCAGTGTTTGCAGCTGAAAAATTGACAATAATTTTATTACTTCCAGAAAAAGTCATAGCAGATCTATACACAGCAGAAAGAGACAATCTATTAAAATCCTGCATGAATACAATTCGTCTCATAAAATACATAATAAATGACACTCGAAATGAAAAGTTGAAAGGTGAACTTATAGCATTTGTGCATGCAATGAGGAGTGTAAGGGAAAGCCATCCAAACAACATCCGACGGAAAGTTAAGAAACCTTATAAGAAGGATAAGAAAGTTGATAAATAAATAAAAAAAAGTCATTGTGATAATAAATTTATGTTTATAAAGTATTTTTTTCCACTTTATTATGAAATAATTTTTTTGTGTTTTTCTTTTAAATTCGACACTGATGTAAAAGGATGGGAATCATAATTCATTTTTTTTTATTTTACATTTATTTTAAATCAAGTACATCATAATTCATTCTTGTTTGTGTGTTTTTCATTGAAAGTCTGATAGTTTCTTGTCATTTTGATTCAATTAAACACTTATTCATTCTGGAAACATTGAAAGCTATTAGAAAAAGAACCAGATAAACATCTAAACAATTACAATTTATAATTCATTTGTTGTCACCTAATATTTGAAATATATATTTGCAAAACTTTCATATTAATTTTTTCATATAAGTTCCTAAAATTTTCTTTTTTTATAATTATTATATCAGTTTCATAAAATTTCATTTATTATCAATAATTTTGTTTCTTAATTTTTTTTTTCTTGTCTTAACACTTGTCTGAAAAAATTTTCACAGTTCATTTGTTTAAATCCAATATATACTTTTTTGTTTGCATCTTTATGTCTTTGAAGTTTACAAATTTTTTTTCATGCACATTTTCATTTTTTTTGTCAAATATCACACTGCTTTGGTAATAAAAATGATACAACATTACTTAACTATTACTCTACTATTATTTAATGATTTTTCATTTTTGTTACTAATTTCTACTACGGCTTCCTTCCTTCTTTCCAAATAAATCATACGATTATTTTAAATGACAAAAAAAACTTTATAAATTTCTGTTTTGTTAATTAATTAATTAATTTTGTGCGCTTGCGACAAGAAAGGCTTCGATATTTTCTTGATAGTTTTGGAATCTTGATTATTCATTCCAATGTATTCTTTAAAATTCTTATAATCAATATTAATAACATTTTCTATGCATTGCAAGGGTAAGGTTGCCAAAGTTCACTCAATTCTAGAATCCTACAGACTACAGACATTTCTGCTTGAACTCTACAAAGAAACACTGTGAGCTAGTTTTTCAGTTCATATCATTCTCGAGCCAATGATCGCTGTGTCGAGCGATTAAAGGACGAAACAAATAAAGGGTCGTTCACTTATGACATCGATATTAACGGTCATTTTTCAAAAAATAAATTCCAAAAATTTCTATTGTTTTTTTCTTGCCCCCCCCCCCCCCCCCCCTAGGACGTAATAAGTGAACGGCCCTTAAGTCAACTATATATTTCAAAATTTCCGATCAAAGAATTTAATCAAATTGTTTTTCAAATCATATGTAATGCAAAAGAAGCTCACTGCTTCCTATAAGGTAGTGTTCATACAGCCTAGCTCAAGGATCCCATTGGTTTCAATCAGTTTCAAAAAAATTCGAAATTCTTTCAATTTAATAAGAATTCACTTAATTCCTTAGCGACACAATGGCTCTATTTTGTAAGTTTTCCAGAGTTCGAAACTTTATTGTATCTCCTTTCCAATAAATATCGAAGCCTTTCTGTAGAAAACTTCTCTTATTCTTTTTTCTACTTGTGCATTAAATTTCAATTTTTTTATATCTCCTCTCCCAAAAAAAGTTAAATTCAAATTACACAAGACTTTAAGTTATGAATTTATCATCATTATTTTATTATTTATTATTAATTTCTTGCTCAATAATATAAGGCACGTTTTATGTGTAACTTTTTTTATTTGTTTACTTAATCAAATTGAATTTTAGGTTGGGAAATTTAATTGAAATTGAAAATTGGAAGAGAATATAAAGTCAGTTTGAAAGGAAGAAGACTTTTTGTGTGATTTAATAAAATTAGAGCGCTCTTATGTACATTTTGAGTGACTGGATATTTAGAATAATTTAAATTGTTGAGTATAAATTGATTCAGAAATGTAAAGTTTTTGGATATTGAATATGGCTTTGCTGGGTGATGAATTGCACGATTGATAACCTTGCTAGCAGACCCATAGCCAGCTGAAGGGGTAGTTGTCATTTCTCTTAAGTCAAAAAAGACTCTATTTCTCCCTCTTGAAAATTCTGGCTATGCCACTGCCTGCTTGGAACGAAAGTTAAGTGAAATTAAACTAAAATGCGCTTTATGTTCTGATTTCTTGCCATTTTTACTCATATAATATATAATTTTTTTTTAATTTTTCATAATGAAATTGCAAAAAAAAAAATCTAATGAAGGAAAGAAGTTATAGACATTAATATAAATGGATATATTAGTTGGTGCACGATTCTGTGCGAGATGATTTATTTTTACTTTGCATTTAAATGTGCAAAAAAATACATGAAAGAGAATCATTAAATATTATTACATAATAATAATGATGAATTAATAGAATGAGAGCGAGAAGTGAGATGGAAATGATGTAAAAAAAGTTAATTTAATTATATTTGACTGCTGAATCGCCTGTATGAATATCTTGACCAAATGATATACGAATGCTGCTTATATTATTATGATTTTTAACTGCACGAATCGGTTTCTCAACATTGTACGATAATTCTGATCCATTTGATGACGGTACGGGAGGCGTGTTCGCGCAAATTTCTGCATAAATACTTTCAGTTGGTGTTTCACGTGGTGCTTCAATGATTTGAGCTTGTACAATTGAATCACGAACGGAACAGTAAGGGAGATCATCGGTTATTATTGAAGCATCATCGTCATGTGTAGATTCATTATTCTCATTTTCAGATGACGGTTCTGTTGATGGTGGTGGTGGTAATTGTAACTGCATAAGTGCCGATTTTGTCTGGTCATCTTTACGATTAATGCTATGCTTCTTATCATCATCATTATCATCAACTTTCTCTAACCTCTTTCGCGTCTCTCGTATGTTCATCTTTTGTGGTACAGAGAAGTGAAGCAATTGATGTAAACTCGATGATGATTTGCTATATTGTTTCGTCTTAACATAAAATTCATTAAATAATTTTTCAGTAATGAAACTCTGCTGACGTGGATTTGAATTGGAATTAAGTGCAGAATCATTTGATGAATGAATATTTCCATTGTAAGTTAAGTCCTTCTCAATTTTATTGTCATCGTTTTGCATGCTGTTACGCTTTTTGTGCTTTGCCACTAAATCAGGTGCTTGTATGTCCATTGAACTATTCAGTTCGATGTTTTGTAATGAAAAGCATTTTTGCATAGCTTTATTGGTTCTATCATTCAAATCATAGCTTATTTCCGATGACGATTTCAATGTAGTTGAAGGATTTTCATTAATTTCTATTGTACCAAATCGTTCTTGGATTAATTTTGACATATCTTGGTACCTATCCATACTATTGCTGTTCAAATTAATGAATGAGCTCGTCTTACTGCTACTTGGATTCGTATTACTGTTACTTGATGGGTTCCTCAAATTCTTGAACCACCCCTTCTTATTATTGCTCGGTTGAAATGGCTTCATCTTTTCCTGACTCTCTTGATTCAATTGCTTTTGTTGCTCCAAATTCTCTAGATCATTTTTCGATAGAAAAATAATTGAATCCTCACGTTCATGAGCTGGGGAATTTTTATCACTACTGAAGAATTTCGAGAATGCTGACGTCTTTGATTTAACCTTATTTGCTGACATCGCTAAATTGTCATTTGACTTCATAATGTTCTCTTTCGGTAATGTTTCATATTCTATTGCTCGTGCAAAATTATCACAATTGAACTGACAAAATTTCAATAAATTCTGAACGTTTTGGTTTGAAAACATGACTTTGTCATTCTCAAAGCCCAATGTGCTTTTCATAAATTTCATGTCAGAATGGAGATAGAGTTTCACCAGATGTAGTGGATTGCAAAATTCTGTTTCATCGATTGGACATGCAATGACGGAATTCTCAATTGATACTTTTGTTATTTTTATGTTTTCTAAAATAAATGAGGACGGGAGAAAAGAAGAAAAGTTGTGGATTATTTTTTGATTGTTATGCGATTAAGGTGTTGTTTGAACGCAAAGGGGTCGTTGACAAATGATGTCAATCAAAGAAATAAATTAAAGGTACCACAAAGACATCACAACCTCCCTCTAATTTCAGAATTCAACTTACCAGGAATGGTAACATGTGTTAGTCCATTAACATGTTTCGATATAAATTTAAGATTAAGTGGAAATATCGTTTCGTCTGTAATTATACTGCTTATTTTATGGACACAATCAGCATTTAATTGCTTCCCTTTTCCACTACTTGATTTCGTCAACATTTGTTGTTGCTGTTGCGTACTGCTGTTATGCTCAATTTCATAGAACTTTCCTTTTGTCGAGAGTGCCACATAAATGATCTATTTGAATGTGAACGAGAATAGAAAGAAAAAGTAAAAAAAGAGTATGTTATATATTGATTGAAGTGGAATACTCGAGAACATCCATCTACTTAAAAAATCATCATCATCAACAACATACCTGACGACTCTCTGACATCAATTGCACATAACGACCCTTTTCCTTTTCTCGACCGATACTATTAAGGTTGTCTTTCTTTGTCGATGAATAGCTGCCATTACTCTGTCCCCCATCCTCAAACACAGCCAATAAACGGAAGATTTCACCAGCCTTTGCTGTCGTCTTAATATAATGTGACTTGCTGTTCATGTTATCTATTGAATGTACATGAAAATCGGTCATTTACGCTCAAGTGAATATTCTTTGTTATGCTTAAAAAAATTATACATACCACTAGGATTTGACTCAGTATAAGCCTGCATATTGTCAACAGATAAGAACTTGTAGACACGCTCTCGAACTAATTGTATCATAGTGGTGTACAATGTTGCTGTCGGCATACCTTTTTCGTTTACCAGTGAAAAATATCCTAAATAAACAAGAAAAAAAGAAGAATTTATTATTCCGTTGTTCCTAATATCTTTTGAGCTGTCATTTTGGTAATTAAATAACACTTCTAAGTGAATGAAAATAACAAAATATGATGAATTGAAGGAAAATAGATATTTTTAGCAAAATGTTGATGTACACATGTAGTCATTGAATTTCTCTACACAGGTGTGAAAGTTAATGAAGAATTTTGACGGTTAAGATTACTAGGGTAAATGACTTTGAAATTTGCGCAACCTTGAAATTTGCGCACTCGTATGAAAACGAAAATTTTAAAATTATATGTAAAAATGTCACTTCTGTTCAGACGATCAATGGGAAATGTTTGTAGAACACCAGCGCAGATGTTTTTGCATCATTTTTAGTGATATTAAACCATTAGGAAGCTCAATAATTTGCACCCGAAAAATCCCATACAAAAAAAATATTTGTTAAAAATTTGATTTTGGGATGTATGTGATAGATTTAGTTGGGATTTTGGTACCAAAAAATGAAGATCTGACGTTGCTTCAAATTATTTTGATGGTGCAAATTCAAAAGGATGAGTAGAACTGCTTTAAAATTCCATTTTAAAAGTTCACATTTTTGAACCTTGAATTTTGCGCAAAATTTTCTGAAAATTTTGAAATTTGCGCACTTTGTATCGTAGAAATCGACAGAAAATTTTGTCAACATTAATTAATATTTAAATCCAAAAATGAGGATTTTAGAAGGATTGTTGATGAAATGGATTTGAGGACATAGGACAAAAATTATGCAAATGATTTCTAAATATTTATTTCAATAAAAACGCCAGCAAAAGTCAAGAAAACCGTCAAAAATGATCAAATTTGAGCACTTCAAGGAAACATCCATGAAGGTCCTGTTTAAGTATGGAAAGTCATCAGTTAATAAAGAATGGAGACAAAAATATGTTTAATGCTTAAAATATTTTTTGTTTATTTGATATGTTATAAATAAATCCTGACATTTAGAAGTGCTTTAAAATTGACATTTGTTTGATATTTGATATGTGAGTTTTGAACTGTTCTTGTCAGGGCTTGAAATAAATTTTCAAGACATGTTTTTCTTGATGTCTCTTCTTGACATGAAATTGAACGAGCTAGCCACATATACACCAACCACAAAATAAAACATTCTTTCTTGTAGAAATTCTTGATCAAAAAGTTCTTAAAAATTTAAATCCATGGCTCCATTTTTTGCTTGAATTTAGAGTTGATGCACCAAATAAATGTAAAGAAAAATGTTTGTTTACACATTTTTCTTTAAAATATGTCAAAGATTGCTACTGAAAAAGTGCGCAAATTTTAAGATTTTTTTGCGCAAATTTCAAAGTTTTCTGCGCAAATTTCAAAGTTCAACTTTAAAAGTCAAATTTCTCTGCATTGACGCAGCAGAGCTTCCTTTAAACATATAAAGAAAAAAATATCTTTGATTCCCTGCATTTCAAGACCATTAGTTGGACTCAGTTACAATCCTCCGAAGAGATTGAAGCAAATGAAAATTTCATGTGTGAAAATGCGCAAATTTCAAGGTCATTTACCCTATTTAAGTTGTTAATTTTGACAGCATTGATGTTAGACAAAATATTTTAATTTCTATGTGTATAAATATGTTTGTAAGTTTTCGTTTGAATCAAAATTAGGGAGTCATTTGCATATGCCATCCAATATCCAGCAACATAGTTAATTAGGAAGTACACAAATGCGCCATAATCATCACTAAATCTGATGATCATCTCAACAATTTTCTTTATTATCGCACATTCGTGTTAAGGACATACTAAAATAAAATAAACAGAAGAAAATAAATTTCATGAAGTGCGAGTGACACTGTTGTTACAAAGATTAATGTGACGACAACTTGCATCAGTCAGTCAGTCAGTCAGTGTGTCTGTGAGTTGAATTTTAATTACAAACAGAAGAGATTTCAATTAAAAAAAATAATTGTCTTCTTCATGCTGCATCATGAATGTAAGCAATTGGTATCTATGAAAAGTGAATCCAAAAAGTTGATGTTTATGCTGAAATGAATTACAAATTGCTTAATGAATGAAAATAAAACTTTATTCTTTAAATTTTGGTGTGTGAGAAAAAGTTTCGAAAAATTCCCAGCATGTTGCAGCACAAAAAGTAATCATTTCATTCTTTTCAGACTTGTTTGTACATTATGAAGTGACTTCTAATTCAAGTCAAATGAGTAATGTAACATTTGGCAATAGCATTTGCTTCCATTTCAATTATAAAATTACAGGAAAAAAAGTAAAAAATTTCACAATAAAAAAGGCGAGCAACAAGCAATAAAGAAGAAGGCACAAAAAAATTAAATGAGTTTAGTAAAGTGAGATGGAAGTATAACAACAATAAAGATAAGAATTACGATGAAGAATTGAGGACAAAACGATAGTGACGCAAATTAGCATTTTTTGTTGTCGGTGGTCTCGTGCTGCATTACATAAATAAAGAAGAAATGGAAGAAGCGAAACTTTTACTGACGAAAAATTAAATTTTTTGTGACATGAAAAAAGTGAGTGCTGTGCGGCAATGAAGACCACATGTTGCCTGGAATTGCACACCAACAATTCTCATTGTTATGTACGGAATTTATGGGAATTGCATTAATGAAATCAGCAAATTGTTACATAAAATTTTATGTATTTTTGCTTGCTTCTGTTCCGTTCCTGGCAAAAAAAAATGGTAAATTAGGAAGCAATTTGCATAATTAAGTAAGTAGCTGCTGACACCAACACCCCAGAAAAACACGAATGACTGCTTTTTGTAAGTCTGACACAAGTCGTTATTGTCACAGTAAAGAGAATATTTTTTTTATGCTGGATATCCAAAATGTCTGAGACTGAGATGAAGATTGTATCAAAAATTTATTTTTAATTGCATTTTCTAGAAAGAGAGCAAAAAAAACCTCAAATTTGTGCATGACTGATGACGATGATTCTTAATTAAATTTACATCAGACTTCTAGTTCCGCAAGTAATTTGTCATCTTGTCTCGTCAAAGTCACATTCAAGAGAATTTTTAGATCACATTTCAGAAAAATTCATCGTCCTCTTGATTATGCCAATAAATAAGAAATTTATGTTCAAGAACTGAGAATGATTAAGCTAAAAAGGATTGAAAAGCAAAGAAGCTGTAAAGTAAATCAGTTTAAGAATCAAGGAATTCCATATATAGCAAAGTCATTCAAACGAGCGATTGATTAAGATAATTAATCATTTCAGTACAGCATAGACACAATGCAGAGTAGAGTGAATGAGATGGAAAGACATAAAGTTCAATTTCATACTGGGCGTTTGACCTTCGTTGAAATTCACAAGACAATTGATTATCTACAGCCATTTATCTCAAACTCTCAATGTCCATAAGTATGTCTTTATGTTGCCATCAAGAAAGCCTGTCAGATTAAAATTTTATTATTTTTGTTATTGACGATGTTTTGTGTCAAATAACTGAAAACTTCCTTTCGGCAAGAAAACAAAATTTATTTTTGCATTCTCAATTTCCATTAAACATAAAGGCAGGCACACCAAATTTATTTTCCGTGTAGAAAAACAGAAGCAAATGAGAAATTTGAGAATATTTTCAACAAAATATCGATGGATGATGAAGAAGAAGTAATTGTTGTCTAGATGTTCATAGAACAACAGCAACAAAACACCATTAATACCAACCACGAGAATCGAAACAAATCCGTTAACAATCTGCTTGCTATTGCTATTATTGCTGTTATTTGAGAGAGAAGAAAATAAAATCTAAATCCAAATCGATCTAAAACGCTAAGAGTTGTGTTCCATTTAAAGAGTCTTGTTGAGATAGATAGATGATCAACGGCTATAAGCACATATTCTAAGTACAGACAACTATGTATATATAAACTCACACATTACTCATGTGTTTAAAGTGAGAAGAAAGTGGAAGAATGAAAAAAATAGAAACAAAGTTAATCTGATATAAATTCATTATATTTCATTACATGCAGCATATTCGTCGGTTCCTCAAGAAAATAAAAATGTTGAAAAAGAATCAACGAGCAGATCGAATGAGCTGTTTTTATTTTATTTGATGAGCTTGACCGCAACTTGAGCTGCGCACACATCATACACACATCATACGTAAGCAAGGCAATAATAAGCAATGATAATGGCAATGAAATGAAAAGAACTGATGAGGAACGAGGATGAAGCTAGAGAGGCAAACACAGAATAAGCAGACAAAAGTGATTCATCATCGTGTTGTACAGCAATTTTTCTCTTATGCTAATGATGATGCTGATGATGACGATACTGCTTAATGATGGTGACTAGCACAATTTGGAGAACGAGAAGAGTTCTTAAACATGTGTGAATCTGTGCTGGTCATCTCTTACTGTACCTTTTTCTTTTCTGTTTTCTTATCACTTTTGTCATCTCGCTTCTTCTTCTTTATTGCTGTCTAACTTTTAAAAGTACAGCTTGATGTCCATTTGCATACGATTTTTGATGATTTTCTTTGGGTCTTTAAATGATAATGAGAAGAATTTGGAGCTATAAAGATGAAGAATTGCGCTTCAGGTCTTTCCTTTTAAGAATTGCATCAGAACTTAATCGAATGAAGCATGAATTTCATCACAACCAAATGAACATTTACCACAAGGGTATTGCTTCTACCAAGTACCACAGTTTTGCTTAATTTCTCAATCAATTACTTCGGAAAGTAGCAGCATAAAATAGAGATAAAACGCAAAGATTTTCATAAATCGAGGCAATTAAACAAAAACATGCTAATTATGTTGAGTCTCATTAATTAATCGCCACATGCAATACACAAATGTATCTCCATATCCCGATTGCAACGTACGTTAATATGCTATCTCCATCTCCCTTACCCGTTTATATTGTTGTGATTTTTTCCTCATTTAGATTTTAATTGTTTAACAGCCAAGCTTCTCAGGCACAGGAAAAGAAATCAACACTTTGTAACAATAAAA